AGAAAGGTGAGCTGATGATACATTCTCAAGTATTTAAATTTGATGCTGATTTCTGAGTATCTAACAAGTAGGACAGGTTTTTGTTTTTTTTAAGATTTATTTATTTTGAATGGAAAATCAGATATACAGAGAGGAAGAGACAGAGATAAGGATCTTCAGTCCTCTGATTCACTCCCCAAGGAGCCACAACGGCCAGAGCTGAGCCAATCTGAAGCCAGGAGCCCAGAGCTTCTTCCGGGTCTCCCACAAGGTGTAGAGTCCTGAGGCTTTGGTCCGTCCTCGACTGCTTTCCCAGGCCACAAGCAGGGAGCTGGGTAGGAAGCGGGGCCGCCAGGACATGAACTTACACCCATATGGGATTTCTGTGTATGCAAGGTGAGGACTTTAATCACTAAGCCACCACACCAGACCCTTGGGCAATAATCTTAATAGTGTTGTGCTGGTAGGCTTAATATGTTGAGTCTCAGTTTTCTCATCTGTTAAAGGTTGTTAAAACCCACCTTTAGACTTTTGTGAATCATAATTGGCTGTGTAAAGCATCCCACACAGCAACTGTAACATAAAAGGAAAGTATTAAATGATAATGTAACAACACTGTGGGGATTTATACATATTAAGATCTCTTTTAGCACAAACAATTCTATTTTCCATTGCTCACTCAGAAGGCGCAATCTGGATTGGAGCTCTTTGCTGTTCTCCAAGAAGACTTTATCTGGGTCAGCCCCTTAGGTTGGGACCCAGCAGCAAGAGATATATGAACTGCTTTTGTCTGTCATTTTTATACAAAGTGGTAATCCTTTGATGAAAGTTGTGTGCTATCAGAGATGTTTTTGCTTAAATCCTCCGCTAGGAAACTCCAAATTGCCTACTTTAAAAACAGCCTTTTCTTAGTGTTTGTCGTTCTTGTTCTCTACCCCAGTCTCTATCAGTGGTTTTCAAAGTGTGATTTGCTTTAAGAGGAAGAAAATAATGAACCAGGGCCAGCACTGTGGTGTAGTGAGTAAATCTGCTGCCTGTAGCTCTGGCATCCCATATGGATGCCACTTTGAGTCCTGGCTGCTCCATTTTCAATCCCCTTCACTCCTGAAACAGCAGAACGTGGCCCAACTACTTGTTCCCCTGCATATCCATGTGGAATATCCATGTGGGAAACCTGGATGAAGTTCCTGGTTCCTGGCTTCTGTCTGTTTCTATTTCTCCCTCTTTCTCTCTAACTCTGCCTTTCAAATAAATAAAGTCTTTGGAAAATCAAAACAAAACTCATTTTTTTCTGACTGCTCATGTACCCTTCTCAGTCTTTGTCACTTCTCTCTAATCCAGAATTATACTATGATCTTCAGTATTTCTGAAGGATAGTTAAGCAATCTGCAAAAATAGATAAACCTGCCCAGAAGAAAGCAAATTTATGACAGGTTACTCCAGATGTATTTCAAAGCCTTTATGGCACACCATAGCTTTGAACTTTTATAAAGTTAATTATAACTTTATCACTTTCTTAAGATTGTGGAGTCAAAAAAATGTGTAGCAAATCATCTCAAAACTCAGCATGGGGCTGACGCAATGGCAGTGAGCTGGATGGGAAGCGGGGCCGCCGGGATTAGAACCGGCGCCCATATGTGGGATCCCAGCACATTCAAATTGAGGACGTTAGCTTCTAGGCCACCGCACCGGGCCCATCAACGTACTTTTAAATAGTACATTATCAGGGTTGAAGCCAAAGCATCGCAGGCTGCGCCTCCCATGTGGTGCTGGCCCTATTTTATTTTATTTAAGATTTGTTTGGAAGACAAAGAGAGATAAGGAGAGAGAGCTGTCTTTGACCTGTTGGTTCACTCCCCATATGGCTTTAAGCTTTGGAGCTAGGCCAGCCTGAAGCCAGGAGCCAGGAGCTTTTTACAAGTCTCCCATGTGGGTGCAGGGGTCCAAGAAATTGGGTCATGTATTGCTTTCCCAGGTCATTAAGCATTGATACCAAGTGGAGCAGGACTCAAAGCAGCACTCATGGAATGCTGGCACCACACAGGTAGAGATTTAAATTACTAAACATGGTGCCAGATCCCCTCCTCCTTCAAGCGATCTTTAAAAGAATGAAGTTGGAGGACTCCTACTTCTTGACTTTAAAATTTACTAAAGATAGATAGCATCCCTAATCTGCAAATCCAAAATCTGAGACTTTTTGAATCAATGTGATTTCACTGTTTGAAAGGTCTGCACATGCCCTAAAGAACAGGTCTGCATCATGATCTTGGAACTACAGATAGTGGAAGTGACCCTGAAGTGAGGGGTGAGGCCACAAGTAGTTAAGTGTATTTCACTAAATCCTTTCCTTTGAGATTACTGGGTACTGCTTAGTTTTCAAAGTTACATAGTTTGTAACTGTGAATTAGTCATGCTTTATATAATTTTTGATAAGAAGCTTTAGGAGGGAGTGGAGTAGTATATAGCCTAATTGTTAAGATATTTGACTGTCTGTTATGAGAGTACCTGGATTCAATTCCCAGCTGGATTCAATTCCCAGCTTTGGCTCCTGACTCAAGAAGTGAGATCCTAGGGTAGAAGCAGTGATGACTGAACTAACTGGGTCCATGGCACTCATGTGGGAGACTTGGTTTAAGTTCCCAGCCCTCAACTTTAACCATGGCTGTTATGAACATTTGAGCAGTGGGCAAGCGAATGGAGTTCTGTCTCTGTAACTCTGTTGTTCGAAGAAGTAAATTAAAATTAAAAGCAAAAAACGCTTGATAGTTACCTCTATTTTTATAGACTACTTTTCATAAAGATTTATGCTTATTTTCTTTTATAAAGACAGCTTTAGTTACCACTAAACTATGTAAATTGATGGTTGACAGTTCCTAATGGATTACATAAAATCTGCTCTTCCTGTTAGCTGGAGCACTTTAATATCAAGATCATAGTAATGTATCTTATTTGACGAGTGATTAATTACACAGAGGGTCAAAAGGGTAGTTAGAAAATGAAAGAGGTATAAAATGCAATACAGTGATAGTATGTGAGGGGGGAGATAGTAATAATAAAAATAGCTGACTTAGCTTTTGAGAAGATGTGTTTAATTTACTTGATCCATTTCCCCTGCAATAAAATAGTTATTCTTTCCACCATGGTTACTCCCATCCCCCTCCCCACTCTATCTTCTGTAAAAACCCAAGCTTTTAGTTGTTAGATGCAAGCTTAAAAAAAAATAGAGACATAGTAGTAAGTTTTAAAATGGAAATCTGAAACCTTAATAGGGTCATTTATGGTAGCAGTCAAAACTGTAACATATATACTATGTAGTGTACCATCTTTATGGATGATGTCAGTTAAAATATCAATTATACTGTATTTCTACAGTCCTGGGAATTTTTTTTTCTTCCATAGGTAACAACTTACTGGGTATTCCTATTCCTCTTGACTTGTAATGTTGTACACATATGAACCCCTCTTAAGCATTTTACCAATTCTAACTAGCAAATTTTGTCTGACCCTTTCCCACAAACCTTTGAATTTGCTATTATGAAAAATAGATAAGAGTAAGTTTGGATATAGATATTTGAGATGAAGTATCCAAAGTTTAAAAGATTAGAATGATTTTAATGGTACGTTAATAGGCTTATTTGTTTATTTTCATTTACTTGAAAGAGTTGACAGGGAAATCTGTCTTCGAGTACTAGCTTCCCCAAGGTACTTGGCAAAAGCTGGGACCCTGGCCCAACCCTTTAGGGACCATTTAGGTCTCAGAAGAGTCTTATCTTAGTTCACCAACTGTTTCTTGTGCTATAATAAATTCTGAGTTTCTTTAGTGCACAAGATTATTAACTAGTTTATAGGTGATAGTTTTAATTCATATAAAAGTCTAATTAATACAGGAGATATTGATTGATGTTTTTAAGTGGTAGTTTATAACAAGTGATGCAGAATTCTAGGCAGTGTAACAAAATGAAAAATGTTCTTACTTCACCACTCTTCAGCTCTTAGCCTTGTTTTGATCCTTTGAAACTTGGAGCAAATGTTCATTAAATTGGATTGTGGTATTCTTGTGTAAAATAAGTTGAGTTTCTGGAATACCTAGCAATGCCACAATTAGTAAAAATCCAGTTTCCTCATCAGAATGAATTAAATTTTCCCACAAAAACTCCTTTTCACTGAATATTGTGACATTCTATCAGTGCAACACTTGACACAAAACTGGTGAGTTTTATATCAGAATCACTATTTTGGTTTATAACCTTTCTCCTCTGGTATGTGCTAGAGATAAATAATTGTGTTTATTAATAAGCTACTTCGTAGGGTTTGGATATTCAGATTTCAAGTTTGTTATAGAGTAAGCTGCCCTAGAGATCCATTTGTTTTATGCTTATTGTATATTAACATTATTATGGGTGTTCTTTTAAGTGGGAATATATAGTTCAGTAGGCTATTAATAAATTGATGACAAAATATTATCAGAATCTATAGGTGATGCAAGTATAATTGCAAAACAGCACCCTAATGTCCTTTTACTACCCCGAGATCTTTTTAGTTGACCTTCTTTGTTTAATTCCATTTTATATCAGTAATTGCGTTTGTTGAAACCATTGTTTTTCATTATAGGAAATGCTGATCATAGTGAATCTCAGCTATAAGGAGAGAAATGCTCTTTCATAAATAATTGAAAGAGGGTTTTTTTAGGGGACTTTTTGGGTTGTTCGTTCATTTTATTTTGATTTGCTTTTGTTTGGTTTTTTACAACTTGTCACTATCCCGTGCTGCTCCTGTTAACTTTTGCATTCAGAGTATTTTATAAACGGAAATCAGATTATGGCATCTAAAAACACAATCTCTTCAAGGAATCTCGCAAAGTATGATACATAATAGCTCACTGTGAGTAGTTAATAGACTATTTTGTCTGCATTGGTTTACTGTGTTAAGGAAGAGCATAGTATATTCAGCTTTATTGCTGAAATGCTAAATAAATTCTGACATCAGATAAGATGATTAAAACTGTAAACTGCTTTTGACAGCATTAACAAAGAAAGCATCGTTGATGTAGAAGGCGTTGTGAGAAAAGTGAATCAGAAAATTGGAAGCTGTACACAGCAAGATGTTGAGTTACATGTTCAGAAGGTAATTTTCATTAAAATATAAAAATGTGTAGAAATAGATTTGAATAGTTGTTAGAACTTTTCATGTCAAATCTATGTGTTGGTAATAATTACAGTTGATGTGTAAGTTGATTGCTGAATTAGGTGGCTTTTGTCGTATAACAGATCTTCCCAATATTTGGTAACCTAAAACAGCAAACACTTATTTGCTTACGCTTCTATGAATCAGGCAGTTTGGATGGGCCCATCCTCAGTGGTTTGGCTGCTTCTTGTGGCATTGACAGTGTGGTACCAACAGGGCTCCCAGAAGAAAGGTGGCAGCACTGCTGCACACTTTTTAAGCATCAGCTTATTTTATGTGTTTTGAATATTCCATTGGTCAGAGAAACATGCAAAAACAGACTTATGGGATAGAAAAATATTTTCCAACTCTTGGAGGGAGGACAAGTAAGAGCATGGCGAAAGAATGTCATTACAAAAGAACAGAAGCAGGAGGAATTATTGCAGCTCTTTTTATACAGCCCACCACAGTCACTTTGGGAAAAGTTTAGACCACTTCTAAACAGTTTTTACTATTATGAACCTACTCTGGGAAATTTCTTCTGAAGGTGTACTTTTGAGGATTCAGTAACCTGATTCATAGTCATTATATTTAATTGTAGTTATTTTATGACATAGAAAAATCTTTATATTTCAGCAGTAATTTCTGTCCTCATTTTGATTGAAGCTCTGAAATAGTTTCCGGCAGGTTATTCATGACAAAATTAGGCCTGCAGTTCAGTTCCATCCATCCCAGTCTACATACTAGAGTCATATGACCCTAGGATTTGCAAGTATTTGTTGGTTTAGCAGCATAGAGCTAGACAAAAAAATTATCATTATCTTTATTTTATAGATCAAGAACTTTTTTTTCTTTTTTTTTTTTTTAGCAAGCAGTTTCAGTTAAAGATGTATGCTAATGCTACCTCATGTTTTAAGTCAGTGGCAGATTTTTTTTAGCTGAAAGATAGCAGTTTTGTTATGCTTCCAACTATTTTTAGCAGTGTCTCACTTTCAGATTTATGTGATCAGTTTGGCTGAGCCCCGCCTGCCCCTGCAGCTGGATGATGCCATTCGACCTGAAGTGGAGGGAGAAGAGGTAAAAACCACCTTTCAAAAATACTGTGCTGATTTGTCTATAAAACCCTGAAAGTCTGATGCCCTGTTTGATACTTGTAGACTGTTTGGAACTCTGTTTTTATTTATACTTACTCTTAAGTCAGTGAACCTGAAATTTCTTGGTCTCAGAATTCTTTTTTATAAGTTAGGACTCTAAAAACTTATTTTTGTTGTTGTCTGTCACAATTTATAGTTTTAGAAATTGAAATGAATTTTTAAATATTCATATAAATATATTGTATGTGTTATATAAATAAAAATTTAAGAAAAATAGCTATTTTCAAAACCAAAAAATAATTACATTTTAGCAATGACATTGTATTATGTATGTGTCTACTAATTTTCAGAGTATTTCACGTAGTGGAAAATGACTTGATTCTTATATTGCCTCTGTATTCTGTTGTGATGGTAAACACATCATGTAACCTTTGGAAAACTCGATACTAAAGTGAGTGCAAAAGCGTTTTTATGGGAGAAAAAACTAGTTTTAACTTCATTGACTCCCCTAAAGAAAATACACAGAGACTGTTATGTCAGCCTTTATCTGTTCCTCCAATTTAAGACTAGCAGGTTAAATCCAGGAATCACTGAAGGTAAGGCAATTACTTCTTCTGTTGTACCAATGATGAGATGAGGTTTTTGGAGGTACAGAAGATAAAGAAAACTTAAACATCTTTCTGTTCATTCCCATTTATCCACTTACTATTTCTCTCTTTCTGCATTAACTTTTCTCTAGCCCCACTTGTTTTTGTCATTATTTTGAATCCCTCATTTTCACATGTATAATTGTCATACCCGTATCCATCCTCACTTAAAAGTAAATAAGATTTCTAAAAGTGTTTTTCTGTATTCTTAAAAAACTTAATAAAACCTGATTTTTTGTTTGTTCGTTTTTGTCTCTTCTTTTTTTCCATAGGAGGGAAGAGCTACAGTTAACCAAGATACAAGATTAGACAACAGAGTCATTGATCTTAGGGTATGCCTCATTTGTTAAATGAAATGATTATGCCAGCATTGAGATGGACAGGAATATTGCACCTTTCAGGCATATCAGACCATTTGTATTTGCATATACAAGAAACCATTTACCTTTCTAACTGTTCTCATTAACCCTTCTTCTAAAAAGAACTGTAGACAAAGTCAGCAAATAAAGCTGTTTACCAAGACTGGCGTCCCCCATCAGAGGACCAGTTCAAGTCCAAGTCCTGGCCCTTCCACTTTGATCCAGCTTCCTGTCTGTGTACCTAAGATGGCAGCAAATGTTGACCCAAGTGCTTAGGTCACTGCCATCCTCATAGGAAAACCAGGTAGAATTAATGCATCCTGGCTTAGGCCTGGCCCAGCCTTACAGTTTTGCAGCCATTTGCGTAGTCACTCAGCAGATGAAAGATCTGTGTCTACTAATATGCCTTTCAAATATATTTTAAAAATTAGAAATCTTTTTTATTTCTTACAAGGCAGAGGAATAATCAAATACTGTTGTTCTATTGGATATTGATTCGATTTATTTCATAAGTCACAGATGACCATAAAGCCAATAAATGAGCTTGCTTCCAGGTAATACTTATTTGGGGCAAGTTAGGTTGTAAGGTGAAACATTACATTGAAATCACTGTGAAACTGTGAAAGAATCATGTTCACACTTTAAAAAGACCAAGTGGAAATGAATAATTAATGCCTTAATGCTTTGAATTTGAACTATGTATAGAATTTATAAAGACTTTTACCGTAGTCTTATGAGTTTTCCGTTTCTGTTACCCTTTCTGGTTTGGTTGCAAACGAAAGAGTTCAGTGGTTTCATCGTCATAATAAAATGATTATCTTTCTTGATGTTTTGACCACATCTTCCTCTTGAAATAGATACTCAACCTGAAGCTCAAACTCTTCGTCACCTTCCAAGTTCTGTCAAATTCTTCTAGAGCCTGCCCTTATTTTTCACTCATGCGTGACTACTACATATTGGTTTTTTGTCAGTTCTTACTGTCTTCATTCTAATTTGCATAGAAAAAGTGAGTAGGAATCAAAAGTCCTCTAGATTCAACATAGAAACCTCAGGTTTTTTGTGTATTTCGGCCACAGGAGTTAGGGAGGCATCATACAGTATGTGCCCTTGCTGTGTATTCAAAAGAATTGTTACTGGTTTGTGCTATGGCCCTGGGTTTTTGGTGTTTTCTTAATTTAAATTTATTTTCACAATTGAAAAAATATAAGGATTCACGGTAAAATCTGGATACCTTTTTAGGAAGTTGGAAAAGAGTGGACCGATGCACTGGTATAGGTGCTAGAACTGCTCCCTGTTGTGCTGCATCCCTTCTGAATGCCAATATGAGTCTTGCTGCTCCACTTCCAGTCCAGCTCCTTGATAATATACCTGAGAAAAAAGTAGAGGGTGGCCCAACTCCTCAGGATCCTACACCCATATGGGAAACCTGGAGGAAGCACATGCCTTATGACTTTGGCCTGGCCCAGCTCCAGCTGTTAGAGCCATTTGGGCAGTGAACCAACAAATGGAAGAAGACCTTTGTAAATCTTAAAAAAAAAAAAAAAAAAAAAAAAAACAGAAAGAAAGAAAGAGAGAGAGGGAGGGAGGGAGGGAAAGAAAAGAAAAGAAAAGAAAAGAAAAGAAAGAAAGAAAGAAAGAAAGAAAGAAAGAAAGAAAGAAAGAAAGAAAGAAAGAAAGAAAGAAAGAAAGAAAAGAACGAGAGAAAGAAAAAGTTGGAACAAGAGCAATTTTTTTTTTTTTAGATTTATTTATTCCTAAGTCAGATATACAGAGAGGAGGAGAGACAGAGAGGAAGGTCGACTGCTCTCCCAGGCCACAAGCAGGAAGCTGGATGGGAAGTGGAGCTGCCGGGATTAGAACCGGCGCCCATATGGGATCCCAGTGCATTCAAGGCGAGGATTTTAGCCACTACATCACGCCGCGGGGCCCAATACAGCATGATCTTATTACTTCTATTGAAAATCATTTCGTTTTTTTAGGATCTGCTTATTTGTTGGTGGTGGTGGTGGTTTTTTTGTTGTTGCTTTGTTTTGTTTGTTTGTTTTGGGTCTTTTTTGGAAAGCCAGAGTTACAGAGACAAGGAGAGAAAGACAGGGAAAGGATTTTGCATCCCCTGGTTCTCTCCCCAAATGGCTTCAATAGCTGGAGCTGGTCTGCAGCTAGGAGCCAGGAACTTCTAGGTCCCTGCTAATGCACCCGAGGAAGCAATAGAGGATAGCCCAATTCTTTGGATCCCTGTCTCTTTAGAGGAGACCCACATAGAATTCCTGACTCCTGATTTTGGGCATTGTCATTGCTGCCATTTAGGGAATGAGCCAGTGGATGGAAAATCTCTTTGTCTTTTTCTCTGTAACTCTGCCTTTAAAATAAATAAGTAAACCTTTAAAAAGTGTAATGAGGAAAAAGTACTCTTTCTTATACAAATCATAGATGTTTTTCTGAAAAATATACATTAGCACATTTGTTTATGTAATCAGGAAATCAAGAATAGGAGCAGAGAACACTGACTCTATAAAACTCTGCCTTTAAAGAAAAAACACATGCAGCTTTTTAAAAAGGTACATAGGCTGTCACAATCAGTTTAGTTTCCATTGATTGTTGACGTGAGTTTAGTTAGGCTAAGTAAAAGAAAAGTGGGGGTAAAGTGAGTTCAATGACTATTTTGTTGACATAAGTAGAGTATAAGTAATAGTGAAACAGCGGGCCCTGCATGATGGCCTAGCAGCTGAAGTCCTTGCCTTGAACACACCAGGATCCCATATGTGTGCTGGTTCTAATCCCAACAGCCACACTTCCCATCCAGCTCCCTGCTTGTGGCCTAGGAAAGCAGTTGAGGAATGGCCCTAAGCCTTGGCACCCACATGGGAGACTTGGAGAAAGTGTTTGGCTCCTGACTTTGCATCAGCTCAGCACTGGCCGTTGTGGTCACTTGGGGAGTGAATCATTGGATGGAAGATCTTCTCTGTCTCTCTTCTCTGTATATCTGACTTTGCAATAAAAATAATTTAAAAAAAAAAAAATTAGTGAAACGGCATTTGATTTTAAGCAGGTAGAAGGTTTTTGGAAGCAAAAATTTACGCAATTTGTTTTGATTGGATCTACCAAATAGCTCCCTAAACCATATATAAAACAGAGGTCACAAATCTTCCTGACATAAATGTAAACATCTTTTAAATAAACAATTAAATGGTCTAACAAATCCTAAAGATCTTCACAGTGCTGCTCTCCATTGTTTTGTGAAAAACTTTTTATTTGATTTAGAAAATGTTATTTAAATATGACCTGGCTTCAGTCCTGCTTTTTATAAATTCAAGATTATTAAATGTTGTTCTTTATAGTGAAAGAAATGCAGAGCAACTATTCTGTCATATTCAGTGTTTCCAAAAGGCAACTGTTCTCTAAATGAAGAATGTTATGTATGTTGAGTCCTTTGATAAGGATATGGGATCTAAAAGTGAAATTTCTGAAGCAAGATAATTTCTCATCAAACTTTGTGCACAGTTAAATTAGTGCCTGAGGTCAGGTATTTTACTGAACACATAGTCATAGAATAATAATTTTAATAGGCAAGACCTGAAGATAAAAGCTACGTTTTTGATTAGAGAAACAGGTAAAAAAAAAATCGGACCACTAGTAAGACTGATTTTTTTTTGTTTAAGATTTATTTATTTTCATTGGAAAGGTAGATATACAGAGAGGAGGAGAGACAGAGAGGAAGATTTCCATCCGATGATTCACTCACGAAGTGATCGCAATGGCTGGAGTTGAGCCAATCCGAAGCCAGGAGTGTAGAGCTCTTCCGGTTCTTGCATGCGGGTGCAGGGTCCCAAAGCTTTGGGCCGTCCTTGACTGCTTTCCCAGGCAACAGGCAGGGAGCTGCATGGAAAGCAGGGCTGCTGAGATTAGAACCAGCGACCATATGGAATCCCGGACTTTAACCACTGTGCTATCGTGCCGGGCCCTGATTTTTCTTCTTTAAAGATTTATTTGTATTTATTGGAAAGTCAGACTTACAGAGCTAAGGAAACACAAAGATCTTCTATCCAACGGTTCACTCACCAAGTGGTCACAGTGGCCAGAGCTGAGCTGATCTGAAGCCAGGAGCTTCTTCTAGATATCCCATGTGGGTACAAGATCCCAAGGCTTTGGGCTATCCTCTGCCTCTCTCCCAGGACACAAGCAGGGGAGCTGGATGGAAAGTAGAGAGGCTGGAATATGAACTGGCTCCCATATGAGATCCCAGCAAATGCAAGATAAGGACTTTAGCCACAAGGTTATTGTGCTAGGCCAAGACAGTACTGATTTCAACCAGAAGTAAAATAGGGGGAAACAGAGAAAGAAAGAAGAGGGAAGAAGAAAACAAAAAATAGAAACGGTGATTGTGATTGACACACTGTTGTCACTGATTGCTTTGTGTCATTTGAAAAATCATCATGGTTAGGAGACCTACCCTTTTTTGTTTACTTGTAGCAGACACATGAGTATCTGCAGTTACTATATTGTTGAGTAATAGTTGAAATAAAAATGAACATGGGAATATTGTTTGTCTGTTTTCAATTGTTATATTTAACTTCCCTAAAGAAAGCATTCATATACTTCAACCTTTAGTACATTTCATTTAATGGGTTGCCTTTAAAAAATAAACTAAGAGCATTTGCAAGTACCACTTTTTACTAATTGGTTTAGTGCAATTCTTAGACATTAAGACATCTGCTTCACCAGCCTTTGCAGGGAGGTGGTTGCTAGAGCCATCATACCATATCACTTCTGCCTCCTGCTTTGTTTGTGTGCTTTTGCCTTCTCCCCCTTGTACTAGGCTTTTAGGCTTTCTTCAGTGCTTGGCATATAGAGAGTGCTGAATAAATGTGACAAATGGATTTAATCAGAGTATTGCTATCTTACAGACGTCAACTAGTCAGGCAGTCTTCCGTCTCCAGTCTGGAATCTGCCATCTCTTCCGAGAAACTTTAATTAACAAAGGTTTTGTGGAAATCCAAACTCCTAAGATTATTTCAGGTATGTTTCATACTATTTCCCTTAATTTTTAAAAGTAAATATTCCTTCCCCAAATTTATTTATATTAAACCTTTGGTAACTTTAGAATTCCAAGCATCTTTCAAGGTTTATTGCTACATGCCAAGTCATAGATCAGCACAATCAGTAGCACGTATCCTGAAGCTGTAAGACACAAAGCAAGAGTCTTGTTTTGTTCTTGTCAGGCCAATAACAATTTACATTAGGTAGGTTTTATTTAAAACTGGTAGTCTAATTTTGTTTTCTACAAACTGTGTTCTAAAAGCTATTAAATACTGCAAGTTCAAAAATAACATTGATTCTCATCCTTACATGAATATCTTCTAGATCATTTTGTCTGCTTTAAGAGTTACTTAACTAACCCTTTAAAGGAATATACACAACGGACAATTATTAAACACAAAATTGTATGTTGTCTTTTTTTTTTTAATACCTTCAAAGCAGCTGTAATAGGTTTCAGATGAAATAAAAAAGACACTGCATGTATCTAAAGAGATCAATCTAGCTAGTCTAAAATGTGTAGACTTGAATAAAATAGTTTATATATACACATATATAGGCTATGATTAACCTGAAATTACTGATTTTCTATATGTTTGTTTTTAAATGAACTACTTGGTTCAAAAATATAAACTTAATTTTGAAGTGTTATTCTTTTCATTAACTGCTTGCTTTTGGAATTAATTTTAATAATGTAAATGTTTCAGCTGCCAGCGAAGGAGGAGCCAATGTATTTACTGTGTCATACTTTAAGAATAATGCATACCTGGCTCAGTCCCCACAGCTGTACAAGCAGATGTGCATCTGTGCTGACTTTGACAAGGTTTTCTGTATTGGACCAGGTAAGATCTTAGCAGTTACGGTTTTTTCCAGGTTTATTAATTATATTGTCATTATAGGTTCCGAAAACATTGGGAAAGCTTATATTCTTGTGTCCACTGACTGCATGAGAACTAGACTTTGAGGCAGAAATAACATTGTATTTGGTTAGAAGCTTGAAAAAGAAACTGTGTGTGTCAACAATTGTAAACATTTGGGCAAAATTCAAGTGGGTAGGATCCTAAGTATTATATTTCTATAGAAAATAACAGAAGAAAAGTTTCATCTTGGGAATATCTTATTTTAAAAATGAGTGCTTTTGTGGACTGACATGGTGGTTTATCAGTTTAATCCTCCAGCTATGGTGCCAGTACCCATTAGGGGCACCAGTTCACATTTCAGCTGAACTACTTCATATCCCAACTGCTCTATTTCTGATCCAGCTCTCTGCTTATCACCTGGAAATGGAGCAGAGAATAACCCAACTTCTTCTTCTTTTTTTTTTTTTTAAAGATTTATTTATCTTTATTTTTATTTGAAAAGCAGATTTACAGAGAGAAGGAGAAAGATTTTCTATATGCTGGTTCACTACCACAATGGCTACCATGGCTGGAGTTGAGCAGATTTAAAGCCAGGATATAAGCAAAGAACTGATTCGGAAGTGAGGCAGCCAGGACACAAACCAGTGCTTATAGCCTACTGAGCTGCTATATCAGCCCCAAAATAAAGAAAGGTTTTGTATTAAAAAAAATAATGCTTTGAAAATATATACCATCTGAAATGTATCTAATTATTATTTTTTAAGAGCAATTAGAATAGTATGAGCTTCTATTTGGCATTTGCTTTTAGCTGTTAGTACTATAGAAGGAAGAACTACATATATATATATTTTAAAATTTATTTATTTTTATTGCAAAGTCAGATGTACAGAGAGGAAGATCTTCCGTCTAATGATTCACTCCCCAAGTGACCGCAACGACTGGAGCTGCACCGATCTGAAGCCAGGAGCTAGGAACTTCTTCCAGGTCTCCCCTGCAGGTGTAGAGTCCCAAGGCTTTGGGCCAACCTCAACTGCTTTCCCAGGGCACAAGCAGGGAGCTGGATGGGAAGTATGGCTGCAGGGATTAGAACCAGCGTCCATATGGAATCCTGGCACGTTTAAGCTTTGGACTTTAGCTGTTAGGCCACCACACTGGGTCCAGGAAGAACTATATCATAACTGTCTTATACTGTTGAAAGTTTGCAGGTTGGCTCTGCTTCCTGCTTACAAGTTTTTTCCACAGGCTAGTCTTTTTACTACTATTATTTGTACTGTCTGTAGTGTTAGGAATAGGCTAAATTTCATTAGATTCTGGGTCTCCTGTGGGAGACCTGGAAGAAGGTCCTGGCTCCTGGCTTTGGACTGGCTCAGCTCCAGCCACTGTGCAGAACTCTATTAACTTGGCTTTAAAAATAAATTTGCTGGTGCCTGGTGCAGTAGCCTCGTGGTTAAAGTCATTGCTTTGCTCATGCTGGGATCCCATAGGGGTGACAGTTCTTGTCTCAACAGCCCTGCTTCCCATCCAGGTCCCTGCTTGTGGCCTGGGAAAGCAGTCGAGGATGGCCCAAAGCCTAGGGCACCCGTCACCCATGTAGGAGACTAAGAGGATGCTTTGGATCAGCTCAGCTCTGGCCGTTGTAGCCACTTGGGAGTGAATCAGTAGATGGGAAATCTTCCTCTCTGTTTCTCCTCCTCTCTATATTTCTGACTTTCCAATACAAATGAATTTGCTGGGCCTGGCAAAATTCTCGCCTTGTGTTTGCTGGGATCACATTTAGGTGCCGGTTTATGTCCTTACTGCTCCACTTCCCATCCAGCTCCCTGCCTGTGCCCTAGGAAAGCAGTGAAGGATGACCCAAAACCTTGGGATCCTGCACCTACCTATGTGGGAGTTCCAGAAGAGGGTCCTGGCTTCAGATAAGCTCAGCTCTGGCCACTTGGGAGGTGAACCAGTGAATGAAGGTCTTTCTGTCTCTTCTTCTTTCTGTAAATCTGACTTTCCAATAAAAATAACTCTATATAAACAAATAAATTTGCTAGAAGTCAACTGCAGAACATAATCATTTGGCAGTTTTTAATAAGGCTGATTACATACAAAATCAAGCTTTAGTCTATTGTTTGAAGCTTACCAAGTTTCATTTGATAGCATAATAAAATTAGAATATTGTTTATTTGTTTGATTGCATAATGAAAATTAAATACTTGACAGTAGAGAAAGTGGCAAGTTCATGAAGTGTCTTCATTTTCCTAATTTATTAACCAGTTGTTTATTGAGCACCTGGTGCCTATGTCGCATTGTACTGGATAATATGTTCATAAAGGAACAATCCATTAGCACTTCTCAAGTGCTAGTTAACAGGAATCATCAGTGAATCTTGTTAAAATGTAGATTCTGACCAGTAGAACTGGGATGCCATGATTCTGTAGCTCTGTCGCTTCTGTTCATGTTGTTGATTTGTAGACCATGCTTTTGACAAGGGAACAAACATTGTTCCAGCTCCCAAAACTAAGATTGACAACTTGTAACAGTGACAGGGAATAATCAAATGATTTTCAATACAAGTAATAAGATTATGCTGTATTGGTCGCAGCGGCGTAGTGACGTAGTGGCTAAAGTCCTCGCCTTGAAAGTGCCGGGATCCCATATGGGCGCCGGTTCTAATCCTGGCAGCTCCGTTTCCCATCCAGCTTCCTGCTTGTGGCCTGGGAAAGCTGTCGAGGATGGCCCAAAGCCTTGGGATCCTGCACCCATGTGGGATACCTGGAGGAGGTTCCTGTCTCCTGGCTCCTGATCGGCGCAGCACTGGCCGTTGCACTCACTTGGGGAGTGAATCATCAGATAGAAGATCTTCCTGTCTATCTCTCCTCCTCTCTTTATATCTGACTTTGTAATAAAAAAAAAATATTATGCTGTGTTAATCAGTAAATGAGTATTAATTAGTAAGTTTAAAAAAGGGCGAAAGTAAAGTTTGTCAGTCACCATAATGAAAATTTAAATTTAAATGAGCTTTAGCAACATTTATAGGCAACAAAGATGCCATTCTAAGCAGAATAAATAAACAGAATATAAAACAGTAGTTTTCTACAAAAGCAATAGTAAGACTAGTTATCGTTAAGGAATGAGAAATGGGCTGATATTGTAGTATAGTAGGTCTGTGGTGCTGGCATCCCGTGTGGGTGGTGGTTTGATTCCCAGCTGTCCCACCTCCAATTTAGATCCATGCTTGTGACAGCCACGGATGGCCAGAGTCCTTGGGCCTCTGCTCCCGCATGGGAGATTTGGAGGATGCTCCTCCCTTTTGGTTTCACATTGGTTCAGCTCTACCATTGTGGGCATTTAGGTTAATGAACCAGCAAATGAAAGATTCATCTCTCACTTTCTCTTTTTCTCTGTAAACCTAGTTTTAAGTAAAAATAAATCTTTAAAAAAATAGAGAAGTTTAGGTTAGAATGAAATTGTGAAAGCATAAAGATTTTTGACATTTTATGACTTAGAACCATCATTCTTGACCAATCGTAAGTTGCTAAGCAAGGATGTGTTGCAGGAATATGAATTTGGTAGTAATGTAAAAGATGAACTGAGCTAGATTCAGGAATTCTGGAAAGGCTATTGCAGTGAGGATATAATAAGAGTTAGACTAAGATTATGGCTGTAGTATCTATAATGTTACTTTGTTGGTATACTTTCATTTACTTGAGTCTAGTTTTGATAAAATTGCGGACCCTTATTCAAAATCAAATTTTTTTATTTATTGAGAAAATATCTCAGGAGCTTACATTCCCTTGCAGTTCTCATGAACCTGCACTATTCCTTTACATTTGATCCAGCTGTTTATGCATCACTGTAGGAGTTTGTAATGCACGTGCTGTACAGAAGAATGCTGAAATGATAGTTTGTTAAACCATTAAATCACTGTAGTGATAACCGTTGGGTACTACTAAATTGAAGTTCATGCTTAAATTGCCATTTACCAAACATTTTAAATAACATTTACTGTTTAACTTCATAGTATTCAGAGCTGAAGACTCTAACACTCATAGACATCTAACTGAATTTGTTGGTTTGGACATTGAAATGGCTTTCAATTACCATTATCATGAAGTTATGGAAGAAATTGCTGACACTTTGGTACAAATATTCAAAGGACTTCAGGAAAGGTAAAACATTTTATATCTCTAAATTAATTTGTTATCAGTTTGGGTTCTTTTTTTAAAGATTTGTTTATTTGTTTGAAGAGCAGTTTAAGGAGGTGGGGTGGTGCTTAGAGAAATCTTCCATCTTTTGGTTCACTCTCCAAATGGTTGCAACTGCCAGAGCTGGGCCAGTGCAAATCCAATAGCTCAAGTACTTGGGCCATCTTTCACTGCTTTCCTAGGTGCATTAGCAGGGAACTGGATCAGAAGTGGAGTAAACAGGGCTTTGAGCCATGCCCATATGGGATACTTGTGCTGCAGGTGGTGCCTTTATGTGCTCTGCTGCACCATGCCCTAGTGCTGGCCCCTAGGTTCTTTTTAAACAAAAATCATAAGTTGGAGACATATTTCTGTTGGAGCTGTTCGCATGCGCACCCAGAATTCTTACAATGCTGCATTGGTCACAGTAATATGGTACAGAAGAACATTTTGGGGACCAGACCTCAAATTTAAGGTCTCCATAGGGTTATGTTATGTTTCCCAGCTGCTCTACTTGTGATTCAGCTGCCTGCTAAAGGGCTGGGGAAAGCAGCAGAGGATGTCTAACTACTTGCTTTCCTGGCTCAGTCTCAAACGTTGGGATCATTTGGAGAGTGGACCAATGAATGAAAGATACCTCTATCATTTGCATTGCCCTGTGTTCTCCTTTCACATAAATAAATCTGTAACACATGAAAAGAAAAGGTGACGTGGCCTAATAAGCATCTGTGGTAGTCATACAGTAGCAAAATCACCTAACAATGCATTTGTCATAAGATTTCCTCATCTTTAGGTGATACATGACTGTAGCTGGGAATATACATACCCAAAATAATGCTGTAGAGGATTCTTTTTGTAGTAATACAGGTTAAGTCACTTCCTGGAGAGCTAGCATCCAATATAGGTGCTGTTTTAAGTCCTGACCACTCCACTTCCTATCCAGCTCCCTGCTAATGTGGCTGGAAATGGTGGAAAATGACCGAAGTGCCTAGAGTCTGTCACCCATGTGGGAGACCAAGATGAAACTCCTGGCTTAGCCTGGCTTAACTCTGGCCATTGTGCCTGGTTGGAAAGTAAGCCAGTGGATGGAAGACCCACTTCTGTTGTTTTCTGTCTCTCTAACTCTGCCTTTCAAATAAATAAATCTTTAAAATGTGTGTGTGATGCCTTAGTATCAAAGTCAATTGAATGTTCAAGTGATTAGCTTCCTTTTGGTAATGAAACTTTACCAGATTGTGAACAGCCCAACTATATTTGTTACTTCCTTCATAGTGATATCCTGAATGTCTGAACACAAAGAAGTGTATTATTTCTCTAATGACTTATGATTTGAGAGGTAGTATGAAACGGTAGGTAAGAACTTAAATTCAGGGTCATGTAGACAACCTGAACTCAAAGTCTTTCTGTATTGCTCAAATGTTTGGGTCATGAAAAAGTAATTTAATTCTGTGCCTCAATTTCCTCAGCTATTAAATGGAATGTATCATTCAGAGGCAAGAAGTTTTTTCAATCTGTTTATTATTTTTGTGAACCTGTCCATTTGTTACTTAAGTCTGTGTTAGAGATGATGAATTCTTAAATTGATTTGTATTTAGATGAAGTGCTCAGTAAAGATTAGAAACTACTAGCCTGAAAGAACTTTTTTTAAAATTTGTTTGTTGTTATTTGAAAGGCTGATTCACAGAGAGAGGGATAGACAGAGGGAGAGAGAAAGAAAGATATCTTCCATCTGCCGTTTCCTGTCCCAAATGGCTGCAAATGCCAGAGCTGAGCTGATCTGAAGTCAGCAGTGCCTTTTGAATCTCCCACATTGGTTCAGGATTCCAAGTACTTAAACCATTCTGTTGTTTTGCTTGGCAATCAGCAGGGAGCTAGATTGGAAATGAGCAACCAGGATATGATCCGGAACCCATATGGGATGCCAGAGCTATGGGCAAAGGATTAGCTTGTTAAGCTACTGTGTCAGTCCCCTGAGGAGACTTTTTACCTGTTTGGGTGTATAAATTAACATTTACCAAAATATTAGATGTGTTCCATTTTAGGTACAAATTAGCAAATCTTTTTTTTTCCCTTAAAATCATTGGAAATGGTTTATTCTCATGATGTTTAGCAGAGCAAATAGGAAAAACAGATGGAAATCAAATTAAGTTGAACAACAGAGATTCTTTTTTTCCTATATTTGAACATATGTCAAATATTAAGTGGATATAATTGAGTTATCTAGCATTTTAATAGCATGAGGGATTAACTTTGAAGGTTTTCTTTAAAATTGCAGATCTGTTTTTTTTGATAGATAGCTGCATTGATATGTGTTCAAAATAAGAATTTTATTTACTCTATTGCAAAGCTAAGAAGTAAGTCCAAGAATTTATGAATCGCTCTTAATATAGGCAGCCTTAGGTGATTTGCAAAAACGGGTTGCTACTCATTTGACCCAGAAAAAGCTCACAGAATTCTGCAAATCAAGAGATTCAAATCTTCATGTTTACTTAAGGAGCACCAAGAAACTGCCTGTCCATTAAGGGTATGCACATCCAAAAAGCCACTGAGTATCTGAAAGATAACACATTAAAGTAGCAGTGTGTGCCATTTTGTCATTAAAATGATGGTACTAGTGGGTGTGCCTAGCTTGGACAGTGAGACTAGACATGGTGTGCAACCCAAAAAGACTGCTGAATTTCTACTGTAAATGGCTTAAAAATACCAAAAGGAACTTAGGGGTTTGGTTGTAGAATTTTTGGCCATTAAGTATATCCTGGTTAACAAAGCACCCAGGATGTACTATCACACCTTCAAAATTCATGAATTAACTCACCTGTGAGCTCCATTGTGCCACGCTGAGATGGTTGTTACTGAAAAGAAACAGAGTGTCCCTAAACCAGAAGAGAATGTAGTAGGGAAGAAAAAGATATTCTAGGAAAAACTGAAAAAAAAAATACATACAACCCTGAAATAAATTTGGCACAAAATAATGCAAATTGAAAGAAAAAATTTACATGGGCCAGAATTGTGATGATTAAGGCACGTCTTCCAATATGTCTCAGCAGAAGATGGCCCAAGTGTTTGGGCATTTGCCACCTGCTTGAGAAACCTGCATGAAGCTCTTTGTTCCAGGCTTCATCCTGGCTCAGCATTGGCCACTGCAATCAGCCGGAGAGTGAACCAGTGGGTGTCCCTGTCTCACTTGCTGTTTGTCACTGTCTCTGTAACACTGAGTTTCTAATAAGTCATTAAGTTTTTTTTTTTTTTTTTAAGATTCACTGTTATTCAAAAGAAAAATCTTCCATCTGCTGGTTCACCCTCTAATTGACCACAACGGCCAAAGATGAGCCAGTCTGAAGCCAGGAGCCTCTTTCAGGTTTCCCACACAGGTGCAGGGTTCTAAGGCCTTAGGCTGTCCTCAACTGCTTTGCTAGGCCACAAACAAGGAGCTAGATGGGCAGTGGATCAGCCAAGACATGAACCAGTGCCTATCTGAGAATGTGTTGCTTGCAAGGTAAGAATTTAACAATTGAGCCATCATACCAGGGCTATACGTAAGTCTTTAAAAACAGAAATAGGGGCTGACACAGGTTTGCAGCAAGTTGATCATCCTGTGACCCTGACATCACATATGGGAGCTAGTTTGTGTTCTGAATGGTTCGTTTCTGATCCAGCTCTCTGCTTGTGGCCTGGGAGAGATGTTTGCAGTCCTTGAGACGCTGAATCCATATGGAAGACCCAGAAGAAGCTCTTGGCTCTTGGTTTCAGATTGGCTCAGCTCTAGCCATTTTGGCCATGACAGGAGTAAACCAGCACATAGAAGACCTTCTCTCTCTCTTTCCTTGTCTCTGTAAAAGTCTACCTTTCAAATGAAAGGTAGATTCCAAGTATAAATTAAGCACTGGTCTTAAAGGTATGGTGGTAGAATGGATATTGTAGTGGGATAAGCGTTGTGGTACAGTAGATTAAGCCATTGCCTGGGTGTCTACATCCCATAGAGGAGTACCACTTCAAATCCTGGCTAGAGCCAGCTTCCTACTGCATGAATTCACCAATTTAAGTGATAGCTAACCTGAAGTGTTTGGAATACTACCCAGATGGATGCTGGGATTCAGTTCCCAGTTCTGGCTTTCGCCTGGTCATTACCTGGCTTGGACATTTGTAGAGATAGCAAGCTACTGGGAGGTTAGTTAAAATGTGTGTGTGTGTATGTGTGTGTCCACTCTGCCTTTCAAATAGATAGAAATAACATTTTAAGAAGTACTAAGGAATATGCGCCAACATTTTCTAGGGTTTGTATTGCTTTGTACCTTTGAGGAGCTAATTGCTAACAGCCATTTTTTAACCTTTAAATTCCGAAGCATTTTTTAGGTTTTCAGCAATATCTATTCAAGCAGTCTATGAAACAACTGCTATTATAAAGTAAAATCTCCCTTGGAACTGCAAAAAAAAGAGCATACTTTTATAATCTCTTTTCACATTTATAATTTAAGTTTCTGAAACTTTAATATCAGAACTGGAAATTTCTACTTCAGCTTTTATACAATAGTCTAAGAATAATTCAGGCTCTTGAGAATAGTCAGAGCTCTACAAAAATTAAAGACTTGGACACTATTATTGCTGAACCTTTTTGTGATAATTTGAAAATAAAGGCTTTCAGGCCTGACACGGTAAACAGGCAGCTAAAGTCCTCATCTTGCACATGCCATGACCCATATGGGCACCGGTTCTAATCCCAGTGGCCCCACTTCCCATCCAGCTCCCTGCCTGTGGCCTGGGAAAGCAGTCGAGGATGGCCCAAAGCCTTGGGACCCTGCACTCTTGTGGGAGACCTGGAAGAGAGTCCAAGCTCCTGGCTTTGGATTGGTGCAGCTCCAGCCATTGTAGCCACTTGGGAAGTAAATAATCGGATGAAAGATCTTCCTCTCTGTCTCTTCTCCTCTCTGTATATCTGACTTTCCAATAAACACAAATCTTTAAAAAAAAGATTTATTTTATTTCCAATAAACACAAATCTTTAAAAAAAAGATTTATTTTATTTTCATTGGAAAGTCAGATATACAGAGAGGAGAAGAGACAGAGAGGAAGATCTTCCGTCCAGTGGTTCACTCCCCAAGTGACTGCAATGGCTGGAGCTGAGCCAATCTGAAGCCAGGAACCTGGAACTGTCCAGGTCTCCCACGTGGGTGCAGGGTCCCACGACTTTGGGCTGTCCTCTACTGCTTTCCTAAGCCACAAGCAGGGAGCTGGATGGGAAGTGGGGTCGCTGGGATTAGAACCAGCGCCCATATGGGATCCTGGCGCATGCAAGGCGAGGACTTTAACCACTACATTGTTGCGCCAGGCCCATAAATCTTTAAAAAAAAAAGAAAAGAAAAGAAAAGCTTTGTTTCTCTAGTCCATGAATCATTTAGGAATTTTAGGTTTCTGAGTTGAGTCATTTATATGTTAGGTTATCTGATTTGTATCTGGTTCTTAAATTTTTAGTATTTATTTGGTTTTATTTTGTTGTTTTCATAATTTATTTATTTTTACTGGAAAGGCAAATATTTAGAGAGGAAAGACAGAGAAGATGATATTCTATCCACTGATTCACTTCCCAAAGGGCCACAGTGGTTAAAGCTGAGCTGATCCGAAGCCAGGAGCCCAGAGATTCCACTGGATCTCCCTCATGGTGCAAGGTCCAAGTGATTGGCCCATCCTCTACTGCTTTCCCAGGTCACAAGCAGGGAGCTGGGAGGGAAGTGGGGCCCCCCGGGTACAAATCATTGCCCATATGGGAGCCCAGTGTATGCAAGATGAGAACTTTAGCCATTAAGCTATCGTGCCAGGTCCTACTATTTATTTCTAATAGAACACCGTACAAATTTTTTCTTAAATTGTGGATAGTCTTTTGTGCTATCATTCATAGCTTTGATTAGAGATTAATAATAACTAGAACAAAAAAAAAGCTATTTAAATAGCAGTCATTGAGGTCTTCCTAGCCATTTTTAAATCCCATGGTGTAAGCCTCATTAAATCAAGATTTGAATAACTCAGACTAAACTTTGTTTTTTATGTCATGAAATCCACTCAAGAAGGAATAATGTCTTCATTTCTAGAATGTAAATTCTCGTTAAAGGATTCTATATAGGGCCATCCACAGTAGCCTGATGGATGGATGCTTGCCTTGCATGTGCCAGAATCTGATATGGGCACCAGTTCATGTTGCAACTGCTCTGCTTCCCTCCCAGCTCCCTGCTTATGCCCTGGGAAAGCAGTCAAGGACAGCCCAAAGCTTTGGGACCCTGCACCTGCCTGGGAGACCCGGAAGAAGCTCCTAGCTTCTGGCCTCAGTTTGGCTCAGCACTGGCCATTGTGGGCTCTTGGGGAATGAGCCAGTGAATGGAGAAAGTTCTTTCTTTCTATAACTCCTTCTCTCTGTAGATCTGCCTTTACAATAGAAATAAATTATTTTTTTATTAAAAAAAAGATTATAGAGAACTGAAATAGCAATTTTAGAAATCTACAAACTAAACAGCTTCACAATACACAAGTATGGAAACTAGCCTAATGATTTCTCAGGTACTCATCACCTATTGTCAACCCATGACAAATTTGGGATTTTCCTTGCTTTTGCTTCTTTTTTAGTTTATATGAGGCACATAGAGACAGAACTATGTGTGTCCTGTCTGCCTGTCTTTCCTCATATGCCCACAACAGCCAGAACTAGTCCTGGACTGAGAACTCAGTCTAGGTCTCCCATGTGAGTGGCTGAGAAGTGGTATTAAATATTTTAAATAGTTACATTTCAGTTTTAAGGGCCCGGCGGCATGGCCTAGCAGCTAAAGTCCTCGCCTTGAGCACGCCAGGATCTCATATGGGCGCCGGTTCTAATCCCGGCAGCTCCACTGCCCATCCAGCTCCCTGCTTGTGGCCTGGGAAAGCAGTCAAGGATGGCCCAAAGCCTTGGGACCCTGTACCCACGTGGGAGACCTGGAGAGGTCCAGGTTCCTGGCTTCAGATTGGCTCAGCTCCAGCCATTGTGGTCACTTGGAATGAACCATCGGACGGAAGATCTTCCTCTCTGTCTCTCCTCCTCTCTGTATATCTGACTTTCCAATAAATAAATAAATCTTTTTTTAAAATTTCAGTTTTAAATTTAAATACTTAAATTTAATATCTTGACAACTTGGTAACGCTTTTCCTAGTGCATATGCTGATTGAAATAATTTAATATATTGCTAGAGTGACCTCTTGTGGCAGAAACATTAATCTAACATTAACTCAATCATCTTATGACTAGGTTTCAGACCGAAATTCAAATGGTGAATAAACAGTTTCCTTGTGAGCCATTCAAATTTCTGGAACCAACTTTAAGACTGGAATATTGTGAGGCATTGGCTATGCTTAGAGAAGCTGGAGTTGAAATGGGAGATGAAGATGATCTGAGGTTTGTCCTTTCTCTTTTTAATTATTTTTGGAACATTGGTAATTAGGTATAGGGATTGAAATGGCAAAGTTATGAATGCATTATTTTTATGTAGCTAATAAGTTTATATTCCAATAATTTGGTATATATTATGCTGCTTTGTATAATGTATGTTCTGAAACAAAAATATTTCGTGTGATTTACCTAAGTTTCAATAATTTTGTTTTCAAGCATTATTTTTTATTTCTTCCTTCTCACATTTATAAACCTTTAGAGAAAATGGGAGTTTTCCTGTGATTTTATAACTTAATATATTATTTCAGTTTTCAGAATTGATGATATTATTTAGAGTTGGTGGCAAATTAAATCCATCTCCTCCGGGATTTTAGCATAAAGGTGTTGCTATCTCTAGAAGACCACAAAAATTACTATTAATTACATGGCATATAGTACTGTCTAAATTCAGATCATAAAGCTTATGATTTTGAAATATTATAAATTTGGTAAATATGAAAGTTGCTTTCAACTCTTTTTTATTCAGGGGTTCCTAGTGAAAATATTTAAGCCCTCATAGCAATATACATACATATTTATATAGTAAAAAAGATGATTCTCAGTTTTCAGATTTTTAAAGAAAGGTTTCATTTAAAACCCTTATTTTCATTTGGTTAATGTACATGCACAAGTTTTTAAGTCTTTAAGCATCTCCTATATTGCTAGGTGACATTTTAAAACAAATTATAAATTTAATATTAAGTATTTCTGAAATTATTCCTAAATAAAATAGAAGTATCACCTTACTTTGTGCAGAAATTTAATTTTTTGTATAAATACAATTACATTTTAAGGACTTAGAAATACAGATTTTTACGTTACAAACCTTTGATAAATACAGGCAAAGGTGGCAACTAGACCATGTTATTTTGAGTCAGTGAATTGCTAGATCATGTTTTTAAATATTTGAGTAGAACCTACTCAGCACTAAGTCACTATATCAAGCACATTGATTGTAATGGTTTTCAGTAGTATTTGCCTATTAAAAGGGAGCAAGATAGACACCTATGTGTTTTGGCCAGATCATTTTTTTTTTTAAACTTTTGCAAACTTCAGATGTAAGGGATTCTGTATTAACTTCAAAGTCCTTTGCTCTCTGAGTGTGTGGTTTTATGTTTCTTTTTCAGTACACCAAATGAAAAGCTGTTGGGTCGTTTGGTAAAGGAAAAGGTAAGACGTTTTGTACATGTTGGGTTTCTTTTTCTATAAATGAAATGTAACCTAATATTATGAAACAGTCACAGAAGAGACTAATCTTCCAAGAATAGTACGGTCACAGAATAAATAAAAATGAAGGGGCAATATTTAAGAAGTTCTCAGCAAAATGTTGAAAAACAGGCTTTGCCTCAGTTTGAATCAGTATTTGTTACTGGTATTAAGTTATGTCAAAAGTGTCTCAAAGTGATACTGGCTGTGTCATGTTAGAAAAGACCTCCAAAATGTTTAAAAAAAAAAATATTTAGATATAGATTTGCCTGAGCATTCCTGCTGTCTTATGAGATGAAATTTCCTTTCACTCTCATGTGAAAGCTACTTTCCTGTACCATACTATTTTCTAACAATATATGTAACTCTATAGAATATAAAAACTAAATTTGATGCGATCTCTAAAGAAAAGTAAGAATAAAAAGAAATGAAGAAGTGCTTGGGCTCCTCCTGCTGGTTGTACTTGAAATGGCTGACAGGAAATCAAACATAGGAAACGAACAGTAATGATTTTATTAGATATTTAAATATTGTAATTAAATCTGGTCTCATAATGGGTAGTTTATCAAAAATGTTATTATTTCATGTTAATATTATTTATTACTTTTAATTATAGTGTTCACTTATGCTACCCAACTTCATTTAAATATAAGCAAAAATTGAAATTATTGCAAAAAATAATTTAGGTTTTTCAAATATTCATGCTATGAAAGGTGTGATATCTTATAAAAGGTTTTATATATTTAGTGCAGTTTATATAAAGCCCAAAAGAATTTCAGATAATATAATAGTTATTAAATGTACCTATAAGTCTGGATGAGGTAGACAAGCAAAAAATAATTACTTTTTAATCACGGCATAATTGACAATGGGAGAGAATATAGAAAGAGAGCATATGCTTAGAAATGTAAAAAAATAAACATTTGAAGTGTGATTGAATAGTAAATAGCTCTTAATTAGATATAAGAAGAACTTCTGGCTTGATAGAATAGTATAGGATCAGGTGTTATTTGACAAAAACAGGAAATATTAGCCTTTTTATTGAAGAAATATATTCTAATTGTCTCTATTCTTTTTGCAGTATGATACAGATTTTTATATTCTTGATAAGTATCCATTGGCTGTAAGACCTTTTTATACCATGCCTGACCCAAGAAATCCTGTAAGTGTTTTAATTTAAAAGAACTTTTTTTAGGAGAAGAAGAAAAATCTCATTCACTGCATGATATTATATAATTATTTATAATAGGAATAATGGTTTTCATGAATAATTTGTTTCATTATTCACATTGATTTCAATATTATAACCTCCATTGGTCAGTACAGATCAAAGGAAATTGTAGGGTTTGAATATTCCAGCAAATTAGTCCTGACAATGTAAATTACAAATCATTTTCTTGGGTCACTGTTTTCAGATTTATCAGGTAGAAAGATTGTATAAAAGAAATAGCACTACAAATTTATACACTTTACTTAATTATCTTTTCATTGATCTTCCACTAGAAATTCTTGTTACATCCTATGAGTTTATATGAATAAAATTGTTTTGGCTTTTTACTGTCTTAGCATTTAGCAGTGGTTCCCACTCTTTAGTGTGCATTAGAATCAATTTGAGGGCTTTTGTAAGATTTTAAGTCTGTATTTCTTCATGTATTTCTTTTATTTGAGAGGCAGAGAGAAAAATATCTCGCCTATCCACTGTTTACTCATCAGTGGCACAGGCTGCGCCAGGCCAAAGCTGAAACAGGAACTGTTCCAAATCTCCCATGTGGGTGACAGGGATTCACCTGGTCGAGTCATCCAAAGGTTCACATTAGCAGGAAACTCAAATCCAGACCAAATACAGGACTTGAACCCATGGCCCTCTTATGTGGAATGCAAGTATTTACACCAATTTCTTAGCTGCTAAGCAAAAATATCTACTCCATGTGAAAGACGTTTTTTTAGAAATTTATTTGTTCTACATGAGAGAGTTACAGAGAGGCAGGGGCAGGAGGGATTGTAATGACAGAACTTCCATGTGCAGATTCACTCCCCAAGAGGCCGTAAAGACCAGAGCTGGGCCAGTCTGAATCTTCCTCCAGGTTTCCCACATAGGTGCAGTGGCTTGAGAACCTGAGCCATCCTCCACTGCTTTTGCATGCCATAGCAAGGGGCTGGATCAGGGAGTGAAGCATCCAGGGCATGGAACCAGTGCCTACATGGGATGTTGGAACTACAGGCAGAGAATTAGATGGTTATGCCACCACACCAGCTCTCAAGCATTTATTTACTTATTACACTTTTTAAAATTTATTTTTATTGGAAAGGCAGATTTACAGAGAAGGAGAGACAAAGAGAAAATGCTCCATTCTTTGGTTTACTCTCCACATGGCCACAATAGCCAGAGCTGTGCATAACCAAAGCCAGGAGCCAGGGACTTCTAAGTCTCCTACCAGGGTGCTGTGTTCTAATGCATTGGGCTATCCTCCACTGTTTTCCCAGGTCATAAGTAGGGAGCTGGATAGGAAGTGGAATAGTCAGGACACGAACTGGTGCCCCTATGGGATGTTGGCACTTGGAGGTGAAGGATTAGCCATTTTTACCAAGATACCAGTCCCCTGCCCCTGAAGACTTTTCAAAACACAAATTATAATGTCTCACTTCCAGAGTTTCTAATAGCTTTGGAGTAAGGACTGATGATTTATATTTCTACTAAGTTCCAGATAGGAATAGGCAGCGTCTCAAGGCTTTCAATCATCCCTTGCTGCTTTCCCAGGCCACATGCAGAGGGCAGGATGGAAAGTGAAGTAGCTGGGAAACAAACCTGCACCCATAGGAGAGCCTAATGCATGTAAGGTGAGGATTTAGCCTCTGAACCATTGCGCTGGGCCCGTGGCTGCTCTACTTTCAATCCAGCTTCCTGCTTGTGGCCTGGGAAAGCAGTAGAGGCTGGCCCAAAACCTTGGGACCTTACAGCTTCATGGCAGACCCAGAAGGAGTTCCTGACTCCTGGCTTTGGATTAGCTTAGCTTTGGCCATTACTGCCATTTGGGGAATAAACCAGAGGATTGAAGATGTATCTTTATCTCTGTCTCTCCTTCTCTCTAAATTTGTCTTTCCTGTAAAAATAAATAAATATTTTTTTTACGTTATTAAAATGATAATTCAGGAGATGGAATCATGGTATAGTGAGTTGGGCCTCTATGTGTGATAAGCAAGCCACATGGTTGCCAGTTGAACTCTCAACTGCTCCACTTTCAATTCAGCTTCCTACTAATGTGCCTGGGATGGCAGTGGAGGATGGCCCAATCTTTGGGCCCCCTGCCACTCACATAGTAAACTCACCCAGTTTGAACTCCAGGCTCCTGGATTTGGCCTGGCCCAGCCTCAGTCACTGGGGAGTGAACTAGCAGATGAAAGATTCTGTATTTCTGTTTCCATAACTCTGCTTTTCAAGTAAAGTTTTAAAATGACAATTTGAAGTTCCAAAAATGAGCTAAATATTGTGACATTTTTAAAATATTTCAGGTGATAAAATAAGGTTGAGACTACTTCAGCCAAGTGTGTTACCTTTTTTAGTTATTGAAGGATATAAGAAAAAGAGAGCACAGAATCTTTTATAGTCAAGAGAGCCGTCTTAGTAGTTTCATTCTGCTTTATAGGAATAAATTATATTCATTGAAACTGGTTGCTTCATTAATTCTTCAAAAATAGACTTGCTCTTCATGTAAGGTAGTTTTATCCCTATGTATGGGTAATGGAAATAGGATAATCATTTCTTGAAAAGTAGTGTTCTTTTGCTTGTTTTTCCTGCAGAAACAGTCCAACTCTTATGATATGTTCATGAGAGGAGAAGAAATATTATCAGGAGCTCAAAGAATACATGATCCTCAGCTATTGACAGAAAGAGCCTTACATCATGGGATTGGTAAACTACTTAAAATATTTTTAGGAGTGTGTGTATTGTAAAAATTATACATTATAAACTTTTTAAAGATCTCTCAGAAAACATTTTAACCTTCATTGAATTTTTAAATAATTTTTGTTTTGCTTTGTATTTTTTGTAGATTTGGAGAAAATTAAAGCTTACATTGATTCCTTTCGCTTTGGAGCTCCTCCTCATGCTGGTGGAGGCATTGGTAAAAGGCTGCTCTTACTTACAAATAATAATGCTAAGTATAGTTCACATTTGAAGTTTAAGAATCTGTTAAAATAAGTTCCGAGTAAGGGAATGTTTGATTTTGTGGGGAAATTATAACAGCCAGCATTTCTAAACTATTGCTTTAATATAATTCTAACCATTCTTTCAAGAACTTCAAGAGAATTCAGAATATGGAATTTTCTTACAGTTTTTATTTATGATTTGCTTAGATTTTTTTTTTTTTTGGTTGATTAGGTAGTATACTTTAGAATAGTAAAGTCTGCAAGCTCTGAGAGTGTGGATACCATATACAGAAGTATGAAATTGGATACTTACCTAACACATTATTCAAAAACTAGACAAGATCTGGCGTGTTCAGGGTGGTATGGCCATAGACACATTATTCAAAAATTAACTGAAAACAACAACAACAACAAACTCTTAGAAGAAAACGGGGCAAAACTTCATGACATTTGATCTAGTAATGATTTACTGGATATTACACCAAAAGCACAGACAACAAAAGCAAAAAGCAAATTAGATACAAATTTTTTTTTTAAATTTTATGTACCAGGGGACAGTGATGATTATCAGCACAGAGGCAGCATAATCAATGGGAGAAAACAGTTAGAGATTATGTGTCTGAAAAAGGATTCACATGCTGGAAATAAAAATTCTAAAAACAAAACAATTCAACTTTAAAATGAGTGAAGAATCTGTATAGACGTTTCCTGCACCGGTAAGCACATGAAAAGATATAACCACAAGTCATGGAAGCACAAATTAAAACTACAGTAAGATGCCACCTCAAATCCAGTAAGATAGCTACTGTTCAACATACACACAGAGAGAAAATTATTGCTGGCAGGAATATGGAAACATTGGAACCTTCATATACTTTTGATAGGGAGTGTTACCTCCCCTCCAAAAAGTCAGAAAGAGTATAGACATTTCTCAAAGAATTAAAAATGCAATTACTAAATGATCCAGCAGTTTCACTTCTGGGTATATTCACAAAAGAAATGAAAACAGGATGTCAAAATATTTGCACAACTGTGTTCATGGCAGCATTCATCACAATAGCTAAAATACGGAAAAAGCAGTCCAACAGTGTATTAGAAATTTAGTATTACTTATCTGAAAATTTTACCCCAACAGTGTTTTAAATTTTGGAGTTTTTTGGATTTTGGAACACTTACATAGACTTTACTGGTATAACGTCATTATTCCAAAAACCACAAATCCAAAACTTTTGAACACCAGTTTAATGCCCAGAAAGTTTCAGATTTTGGAGCATTGTAGATTTTTCGATTAGGAGTGTTCAGTCTGTGTGTGCAGTGCAATATTTTTTCGCCTTTAAAAACAAGGAAATTTTGACATATGCTACAATAGGGTGGTTAAGAAAAATAACTGAAATACATAAAAGCAAGTTAATATAATTCTACTTATGCAGTCTACGGCCATACCACCCTGAACACACCAGATCTCGTCTGATCTGACACTTCTACCTATACAATGTACTCATATAGGCAGAGTATACTCATAAAAGAGAGAATGATGGTTGCCAGGGCCTGAGCGAAGAGTAAATGGAGAGTTATTGTCCAGTGAATATTGAATTTTTACAGATAAAGAAATTATTTTCCACCAAAGGAAAAAACTGTTAGAAAAAATGAATTCAGTAAAATTAGAGGATACAAAATCAGCATATAATAGTAGCATTTCTATACATTAACATAAACTATTCAGAAAGCAAATTAAGAAAAGCCCCATGTACAGAACCGTAAGTAAAATGAATACTCAGCAATAAATTCAACTAGGGAAGTAAAAGATCTATACCCTAAAAACTAAAAATGTTGATGAAAGAATTTAAAGAAAGTTTTTGTGTATTTGAGAAACTTAACATTGTGAGAATGGTCACCCGGCCCAAAGCAATCCATAGACTGAATACAATCCCTATCAAGATTTAAATGAGAGTTTTCATAGAAACAGGAAATCTTAAAATTCACATGGAACCACAGTAGCTAAAGCAATCTTGAGTGAAAATAAATAACAAAGCTGGAGACATCATACTGATTTCACAATATGTCACAATGGTGTAATAATTATATCAGCATGGTACTGGTATAATAGCAGAGACAGACCAGTGATATGGAACAGAGATTTTATAGTCAGTTGGTCTTTAATAAAAGTATCAACATCACACATGGGAAAATGGAAGTCTGTTCAATAAATGTAGTTGAAAAACTAGATGTATACATGTAAATGGATTAAATTGAATCCCTAATTCACAATATTCACAAAAATGAACTCGAAGACCTAAATGTAAAACTTAAAACTGTATAGTAACAGAAAAGTAAAAAAAAAATCAAGACATCTGACATTGGTCTTCTTTTGACAGAATTTTTGATTGGCTTATTTTTCTGGGAAGTCAGATTTATAGAGAGGAGAGACATGAGAGCTGTTGGCTGGTTCACCTCCTAAATGGCCACAACAAACAAAGCTGAGCTGAACTGAAACCAGGAACCAAGAGCTTCTTCCGATTCTCCCACATGGGTGCAGGATGCCAAGGCGTTGGACCATCTTGTGCTGCTTTCCCAGGCCACAAGCAGAGAGCTGGATGGGAAGTGGGGCTGCTGGGACACAAACTGATGTCCATGTGGGATGCCAGTGCTTAGAGGTGGATTACCCAGATAAGCTATAATGCCAGTCCCCTTGATGAGAGACGTTTAATGAAGTCCTTTCTCCATTTTTTAATTTGTTGATTTGTTATGCCATATAAAAGTTCTTGTATAGCGATAGCTAGTGGCTAAATCCCCACCTTGCATGCCACAGGATCATATGAGTACCAGTGGTGTCCCAGCTGTTCCACTTCCCATCCAGCCATCCTGCTCCCTGCTTGTGGCCTGGGAAAGCAGTAGAGGGTGGTCCAGAGCCTTGGGACCCTGCTCTGGGATACTGGGAGGAGACACCAGGTTCGTGGCTTTAGATCAGCTCAGTTCTCTCCATTTTAGCCACTTGGAACCAACAGGTGAAAATTTTTTCTATCTCCCCGTCTGTACATCTGCCTTTCCAATAAAAATAAATAAATCCTTTAAAAATTAAATATGGTTTGCAAATAATCTCTCCTAATCTCCAAGATACCTCTTTACTGTTTGATGTATAGTAACTCTTTAGTTTAATGGAATTCCATTTATCTATTTTGCTTTTGTTGCCTGAACATCAAATCTTTTACGGAAAACTGTCTGGTTTTCTTCTAACTTTTGCAAAAATAACCTTTATATATATAAAAAGATGCATGCATACACTTTATAAAATGTTATAGCACAAGTTGTAATATGCTGCATAAACCGTTCATTACTTTTAACTTAATTCCTAATTGTTACTTATCTGTTCTGCCTCTTGAGTGGTCCTCAGACTTAGTTCTTCTTAGTAATACTGGATTTATCCACAGGGCAAAAGCCAGCCTCTTTTTAGACTCAGAACACTTAGTGTGATCATCACCCTAGAGCTCTTCGTGCCAGGGACTACCTTGTGAAATGTCTTTAGAATCACAGTAAATATTTTGGTACTTCTAGTTAATAGCCTTCCTCAAACAAGTTTGTGATTCTCTGCTGTGTTACCTGAACTGCATAATCAGAGGCTGGTATCATTTGAAACATGCATTCCTTTAAAGTACCTTGATTTAGGTTTTTATTGTTTCAAGCATAGATTTTGTTCTTTTATATAGATATTTTTAGTTCACTTTCCAGACTCCATGCCACTTAAGGATATCTCATTTAGTTTAATTCATAGAGCAGCATCCCTCTTTTTTAAATCAATTTCAAAAATAGACTGTGTTAAAATAAACTCAAATTACAGAAATCATTCCTCTCATAATAAAGAAGTATATTTCATCAAATAATAATTTGCTACTTCTAAATAAGCAATTTCTTAAGAGATTTTCAGAAATGGAATTAATAATCATTTGTTTCCCCAGGGTTGGAACGAGTGACCATGCTGTTCTTGGGTTTGCATAATGTTCGCCAGACCTCGATGTTCCCTCGTGACCCCAAACGACTCACTCCTTAAAGAAAACTAGGCTTTTGATTCTTTCCAGTAACTTGCTACTGATCAGGCTACGCCTTAGGTACTTAAAATACACCTTGTAATAAATGTCTTATCAGAAGTGCCACAATTATTTTTGAATTAGTATAGCTTGGTTTAAAAGAGAAGAATTTTTTAATAAATTTTGACATGCTTCAGTAGGAAATACTGAAACATTTTTTAACAAATTCATATGGTTACGTTGAAAATTTATATTCTGTTACTATAATAAACACTTAAGAATTTTAAGCAGTGAAGATTTGTGCAGTTTTTTAATTTTTTATATTATGTTGGCACAGTATTAATGTTTTAAAATTTTAAACATTTGAACTTATTTCTTAAAACTCTGACACTGAGATAATAGTCAGTGAAGTATCTGAGATTTTAATTAATGTATTGCCAGTCTCATGAAACCTTAAGCAGAAAACTATGTTCAGAAATTATGTAAAGCAGGTGAAAATAATTTGTTAGAAAATATTCAGTATATTATTAAATTGTTATTCTACAACTTAATTTCAATAAAATTTCAAAGCTAATTATAGTTTGTCGTTGTGTAATTTTATTTCAATCTAATTTTATCATTCCTGGGATTAATAATTTGGGAAAAGAAAAAGTACATTAAATTTTAAATTGCCGTAAGAGTGAAGAACACTGTTAGGGACTGGTGTTGTATAGCTATAGAAACTAAGCCTGCTTCCTGGGTGCAGGTCGTGTTGCAGCTGCTCCACGTCTGCTCTAGCTCTCTGCCGATGACCTGGGAAAACCAGTAAAAAAAGTCTCCAGAACTTGGGCCCCCCCTGCTACCCTTGGGTTCCTGGCTTCAGCCTGACCCAGCCCTGGCTGTTGCAGCCATCTGAGGAATGAGCCAGCAGATGGCAGATAGTCTGGTTGGTTTTTGTTTTGTTAAGTGTGTGTGTGTGTGTGTGTGTATGTATTTATGTATTTATTATGGGTTCTTTTTGTGTTTTGTTTCATTTTGAGAAACCAGTAAGAAATGCTGCTTGGATACTACATACTGTTTTTTGTGCTACTGAAATCATTTTGCTATTTCCATTAAATAAACTTTTTAATCTTTAGATATATGGTAAAATTCACTCAAAGAATGCAGTTTTATATGTTTGTCATTTTGTACAGTTAGGTAACCTTCACTGTAATCAAATTAGACATTTTCATTGTTCCAGAAGGTACCACAAAGCTTTTTTTTTAAGAGTCAGTCCCCACTGCTGGCAACCAAAGGGCTGCTGTTGCCTTTTCTAAAGTTCCATAAATATGAAACAATATAGTACGTAGTCTTTTTATTTTATTTCTCAATATGCCTACTTTTTTTGTGTTTCATGTGTTTCTTTTTGTTAATGAATTGTATTCTATAGAATGGATATGCTATGCTTTGTTTATACACTCACCAGCTCCACATTGTTTCCTTGGGTGATAGAAGGGACAGAGAAGCCTGTGCTGATTTCCTGTATCCGTTTATGAAAGCAAATTTCAGCACAAATTTTGGAAGGGACACATTCAGACAGACCCTAACTTATGTGTTTAAACTTTGTAAGAAACTACTACATGGGGCCCGGCGCGATGGCGCAGTGGTTAAGGTCCTCGCCTTGCACACCCGGGATCCCATATGGGCGCTGGTTCTATCCCGGCAGCCCCGCTTCCCTTCCAGCGCCCTGCCTGTGGCCCGGGAAAGCAGTCAAGGACGGCCCATAGCTTTGGGACCCTGCACCCGTGTGGGAGACCCAGAAGAGTCTCCTGGCTTCGGATTGGCTCAGTTCCAGCCGTTGTGGCCGCCTGGGGAGTGAACCATTGGGCGGAAGATCTTCCTGTCTCTCTTCTCTGTATATGCACCTTTCCAATAAAAATAAATCTTTAAAAAAAATTTTTTTAAATAAAAAAAAAGAAACTACTATATGGTTTCCAAAGCTATATCGTTTTATATCACTATCAGCAGTGAATGAGAATTAAAGCTGCTCCCTCCCCATCATCACCAACATTTGGGAGAAGTACAAATATTTAGCTTCTCTAGTCATTTATTAGAATAATGTTAAGACTTTGATTTCCCTCAAATGATACTGAGCATCTTTCAGTGTGATTTTTGGCATCTTCATATTTATTATTACTAGAAAGGCAGAGTTACAGAGAGGAGAAACAGAAAGATCTTCCATCTGCTGAGTCACTGCCCGAATGTCCACAACAGCAGGGACTGAGCCGATCCCAAGCCGGGAACCTCTTCCAGGTGTCTCACACAGGTGCAAGGTTCCAAGGTTATGGGCCATCTTCTATTGCCTTCCAATGCATAAGCAGGAAGCTGCATGGGAAGTGGAGTAGCCAGGGCATGAACTGGCACACATATGAGATGCTGGCACTTGGAGGAGAATTAGCCAGTTGAACCTTCGTGCTGGTGTGTGCATTTTTTTAAATTGTGTTATCCTCTGCTTAAATTGTTAGATCTTTTTTTATTTTAAGTTTTTTTTTTTTTTAATTGGGAAGTCAGATATACAGAGGGAAGGAGAGACAGAAAGGGAGCTCTTCCGTCCATTGATTCACTCCCCAAGTGGCCACAACAGCCGGAGCTGAGCCCATCAGGAGCCAGGAGCTTCTTCCAGGTTTTCCACGTTGGTGCAAAGTCTTGGGCTGTCCTCGAATCCCTTCCCAGGCCACAAGCAGGGAGCTGGATGGAAAGCAGGGCCGTCTGGATTAGAACCATTGCCCATATGGGATTACAGCTCATGCAAGGCAAGGACTAGCTGCTAGGCTACTAATTTTACCTCTTAGCCTTTATTTTAATGATTCATTCTAAGCTAATTTTTTAAAATGAAATTTACAAAGATTAAGGTTCATGCCTTTTTGTTGCTATTTACATACATACCCGTTATGCTGATGCTGGAAAGGCTATCTTTTCCTCTCAAATTATCTTTCCACCTTTGTGAGGATCAGTTGTTTATATGACTATAGATTTAATTCTAGATTGTTCTATTCTGATCTGCCTGTACTTGGAGCCATTACTAAAGTGTCTTGGTTTCTGTAGCTTCAAGGTAAGTCTTGAAATCAGGGGGTGTAGGCCTGGCACAATTGCTCAATTGGCTAATCCTTCCCTTAAAAGCACTGGGATCCCATATGGGAACCAGTACATGTCCTAGCTGCTCCATTTCCCATCTAGCTTCGTGCCTACGGCCCAGAAAAAGCTCCTGGTTCCTGCCTTCAGCTCGGCTCAGCTCTGGCCATTGCAGCCATTTGAGCAGTGATCCAGCAGTTGGAAGATCTTTCTGTCTCCCTTTCTCTCTATAAATCTGCCTTTCTGATACAAATAAGGAAGAATTTTAAAAGGGGGAGAGAAGGATATTTAGTAGAAAGGCAGTTACAGAAAGAAATGTCTCATTGGCTGGATCACTCTCCAAAGGTTCCAGGAACTCCAGCTGGTCTCCAAGTGGGTGTCAGCGGCCTCAGCACTTATGCCGTCTTCTGCTGCTTTCCCAGAAGCATAACCCGGGAGCTGAGTGGGAAGTGAGGAAGCCACGGTACAAACCCACATCCCTACGGAATGCCAGTGTTACAGGTTGCGGCTTCACCCACTGGTTTAGAATTCTGGCCTCCGTCTATTATTTTCAAAGGGCAAGTCTTTCAGAGAAGATGAGGGCAGATCCTGGTTAGCAAATTTCCTTTGGGGATTCTTAGTTGTGAATATCCAGGAAGCTTATGTTATTGGTTCCTAGAACATGTTCACTGGGTGATGTCAAGTGGCGGAAGAATAAAAGGTCTCAAATGTTTGTTCACTTAAATGCCCAATACATATAGATACACGTATATACTACAGTACACTGATAATGCATGAGTTCAATAACACTGTAAAGATGTTATGAGAAGTGTATTTGTATCTGGTGACTCAAACACCTGTCTGTCTGCTTAGCATTTAAAATTCCTTTGGGGGCCCAGCGACGTGGACTAGCGGCTAAAGTCCTCGCCTTGAACACGCCGGGATCCCAATCCCATATGGGTGCCGGTTCTAATCCCGGCAGCTCCACTTCCATCCAGCTCCCTGCTTGTGGGCTGGGAAAGCAGTCGAGAATGGCCCAAAGCTTTGGGACCCTGCACCTGTGTGGGATGCCCAGAGGAGGTTCCTGGATCATGCTTTGGATTGGTATAGCACCGGCCGTTGTGGTCATGTGGGGAGTGAATCATCGGACAGAAGATCTTCCTCTCTGTCTCTCCTCCTCTCTGTATATCTGATTTTCAATAAATAAATACATCTTTAAAAATAGAATAAAAGGGCCCAGCACGATGGCGCAGTGGTTAAGGTCCTTGCCTTGCACGTCCGGGATCCCATATGGGCAATGGTTCTAATCCCGGCGGCCCCGCTTCCCATCCAGCTCCCTGCCTGTGGCCTGGGGAAGCAGTCAAGGACGGCCCAAAGCTTTGGGACCCTGTACCCGCGTGGGAGACCCAGAAGAGGCTCCTGGCTTTGGATTGACATAGCATCGGCCGTTATGGCTCACTTGGGGAGTGAATCATTGGGCGGAAGATCTTCCTCTCTGTCTCTCCTCTCTGTATATCTGCCTTTCAAATAAAAATAAATCTTTTTACAAATAAATAAAATAAAATAAAATTCCTTTTTGGCCTAGTGGCTAAAGTCCTTGCCTTATATGCTGCCAGGATCCCATATGTGTGCCAGATTTAATCCTGGCGGCCCCACTTCCCATCCAGCTCCCTGCATGTGGTGTGGGAAAGCAGTTGAGGACAGCCCAAAGCCTTGGGACCCTGCATCCATGTGGGAGACCTGAAAGAAGCTCCTGGCTCCGGATTGGCTCAGCTCCAGTCATTGTGGTCAATTGAGGAGTGAATGAGCGCACAGATCCTTCTGTCTCTCCTCCTCTCTGTTTATATCTGCCTTTCCAATAAAAATAAATAAAACTTTAAAGAAAAAAGAGTAATAGGCCTTTAAAAACTCCTTTTTAATGTGTTGCAAGTTGGAAGAAAATTTAAGGCGCTACAAAGGCAGCATCTCATATTGGGAGGTTTGTTTGAGTTCCTGGCTGCTCCCACTTCCATTCCAGCTTCCTGCACCTGGAATGGTAGTAGAAAATGGCCCAAGTTCTTGGATCCCTGTCTCCTATGTGGGAGACTACAATGGAATTCTAGGTTCATGGCTTTGGAATGACGTCGACTTGGCTCTTGCCACCATTTGGGAAATGAAGTGGATGAAAGGTCTCTCTGACACCCTCCCCTTCTCTCTCTGATGCCCCCCCTTTTTAAATTACATTGCATTATGTGACAGTTTTATAGGTACTGGGATTCCCCCCATCCTTTTCCCAATCTCTTCCCCCATGGTGGATTCCTCCACCTTGTTGCATTACCCAAGTTCACATGAGATTCTTTCATTGCAAGCATATACCAAGTATAGAGTCCAGCATCTTATCGTCCAAATTCAGTGGCTTGTTGGGGAAACCATCTCTGGTCTGAAGGTAGAGCCGGCAGAGAATCATCCCTATCAATTAAAAGCCCCAACATAACATCAGCCACAATTTATAACGTTATGAAATGAATTGACCTAGTATTGAGTAACCAACATGTTAAAAAAAAAATGCAAGTTCTTTACCACATCTGATGCCCATACAAATAAGACTATTTTTCAGAATTTGGATTGGGGACCAAGGAGGGACATATTCCAAGTTCTTTTTTAATGATTTGGAGGTTCAAAATTTTCTGATTGGTGACACATTTAAGAGCCATCAGCTCCCGAGACATTAAATTCAATGAACGAAGGGCCCATCCAAGAGAGAAAAGAGGGCTGTGGAATCAGAACACACAAGGGAATGGTTATTTAAAAGGGGGTGCTTGCAAAAGAGGCAAACCAGGAATGGTTAGAGAAGCAGCAGGAAAACTTAGGGAAAAGAAATCAGGAAGAAATGGCCCCAAAGGAATTTGGAAATAGAAGCCCAGGGTGTGGTTTTAGGGGTAGACCAAGTTACAGGGCCTAATATATGCCCGACTTCCTTCCATCAACACCAATCAGAATCAAGACCAGCTTCAGCAGCAGGTTTTATTGTTGTTATTGTTAAGATTTATTTTTTTTTACTATGTATTTATTTTTCCTGGAAAGGCAGATGTACAGAGAGGAGGAGAGACAGAGAGGAAGATCTTCCATCTGATGATTCGCTCTGAAGCGGCCTCAACGGCTGGAGCTGAGCTGAACCGAAGCCAGGAGCCAGGAGCTTCTTCTGGGTCTCCCACTTGGGTGTAGGATCCCAAGGCTTTGGGCCGTCCTTGACTGCTTTCCCAGGCCACAATCAGGGAACTGGATGGGAAGTGGGGCTGCTGGGATTAGAATCGGGGCCCATATGGGATCACGGCGTGTTCAAGGTGAGGACCTTAACCACTAAGGTATCGCGCTGGGTCCGCCAGGCGTTTCTGTCTCACCAGGTTCTATTCTGTCATCTACAGCCTATTTCCAACTCTACAGCAAACACAGGTCTGAATTTTATTCACTTTTCTCCTCCAGGCAACCTTACTCCTACCACTCAATTAAAACCCGTAGAACGATGGGAAAGAATTTAAAAAACGGAGGGGGGGAGAAAAAACCCAACACACACACAACAGGCGCAAAAAAAAAAAAAAAGGAAAGAAAAACAAGACACAAGACACACACGGCGCACACACGGCCGACACACGCACGCGTCACGCCCACCCTGCGCAGGCGCAAAAGCAGATAGCTGCCGCCTCGGCTTATGGGTCTTTGCATTTGGCGCGAAATCCCCGAGCAGTAGGTGGAGCTTTGTGAGAAGCCACCGTTCATTGGGCAGCTTTGGCGCGAAACCTCCTCGCTTCTGTGCCACGATTGGTTGCGACTGCGGCAGGGGGCGGGGCGGAAGCGGCGGCGGCGCGCGCAAAGCGGCAGCGTCTGAGGGGGAAGCGACTCGTGGCGGGCTCGAGGTGGAGGCCCTGAGCTCTGGGCAGCCATGGACCTCGCGGCGGCAGCGGAGCCGGGCGCCGGCAGCCAACACTTGGAAGTCCGCGACGAGGTGGCCGAAAAGTGCCAGAAATTGTTCCTAGACTTCTTGGAGGAGTAAGTGGGCCGGCAGCCTGGGCCTCCCCTAGTCCGTGGGCGCCGGGCCGTGTGGTCGATGCGCGTTCGGGAACCGAGGGTCGCGCGCCTGGGAGGAGCTGCCCCGGCCGGGCTACCTGCGGCAGGCCGGGGCCTCGGGCGCGGGGCTGGGCTCGTGTCCGGGGTTCCAGCCGCTGTAGCTGTATCCCGTGCCCTCAGCCTCTGCGTGGCTCGTCGTGTGTCCCCAGTCCTGGGAGGCGGCAGTCTGGGCGGTTTTCGCGGAACCCGAGGCTCGGCCGGGTCGGTCCGGGGGCGCCGCAGGCCTGGGCCACCCCAGCAGCCGGTGTGGAGGGGAGTTTCGGTTTTCGGGGCCGCAGTATTCTGACGGGCTGCTCCGGAGGGTGAGCGGGGCCGGGTCTCCATGCTGCAGGCTAAGTTGCAGGTGCCTCCAGCCCTTCCTCCCTCCGCCTTGGAATAATTACCTGCTACTTTAGAATCTCCGTCTCCTAACCCCTCGGCCCGCTTGGCGTGTCCCCACCGTAATTCTCCTAGCAGCTGTTCTCTCTGAAGTGTTTCGTGATGAAGCATACTTGACGAGTTAACATACTAACCCATTTTGAACGCACAGTTCAGTGGCGTTAAGTTCATTTGTTTTGTACCTTTATCTGTGTCCGGAGCTCTCCTGTTTCCAGACAGAAGCTGTGCCTGGCGAACACTAGCCCCAGTATTCCCCTTTTCCGCCCACGGGTAACCATCCTCCTCTTGTCACCGCGAGTTTGATTACCAGTGGAGTCACACCAGTGTTTGTCTTTTGTGTCCGGCTTATTTTTCAGCTTAATGCTCAGTCTGATGTCATCGAAGTTTGTGTTGTAGGATGGGTCAAAATGTGCTTGCCTACTTTGAGTCGCATTACATTGGGGTGCTGCAGGTGAAGTCATTGCTTGGCGCCCCACATACCAGCCAGCATTCAGTACCAGAGTGCCTAGGAGTCCTGCCTCTGCTTCTTATCTAGCTTCCCACGGATGTTAATGTGCCTGTGAGGCAGCAGGTGGTAGCTCAGGTTGTTAGGTTCCTGGCTGCTTGCTTTAGCCTGGCCTACCTCTGGCTCTTGTGAATCACAGGCAGAAATGGAGTTCTTTTTCCATGTAACAACCTGTCAGTCGCTTGGAAATGTGAACCCCATCCTCAGTGTGGTTTTCCTGCCATCCCCCCCTTTCTTTAAATGTATCTGAAAAGCAGCTACAGGGAGAGTGAGAGAGAAGCAGAGAGTCTTCTGTCTGCTGGTTCCCTCCCCAAATGGCCACAGTAGCGAGGATGGACCAGGCCCAAGCCAGGAACATGGAGCTGCATTTAGGTGTTCTGCATGGATAAAGGGGTCCCCAGTACTTGGAGCATGCAAGCCATGTTGTGTGTGAGACCTAGAGAAAGCTCCTGCCTGTCTTCGGATCAGCCTGTTGTGACCATTTGGGAAGTAAGCCAGTGGACTGAAGAGCTCTCTCTCCATCTCCTTCTGTGTGTATTTTTTTCAAATAAATAATAAAATTTTTTTAAGATTTATTTTTTATTGTAAAGTCAGATATATAGAGAGGAGGAGAGACAGAAAGGAAGATCTTCTGTCCATTGATTTACTCCCCAAGCGGCCACAATGGCTGGAGCTGTACTGATCCAAAGCCAGGAGCCCAGAGCCTCTTTCAGGTCTCCCATGTGGGTGCAGCATCCCAAGGCCCTGAGCTGTTCTCAACTGCTTTCCCAGGCCTCAAGCAGGGAGCTGGAAGGGAAATGGAACCACTGGGACATGAACTGGCACTCATATGGGACCCCCCTGCAAGGCAAGGATGTTATCCACAGAGCCATTGCCCCAGGCCCTAATGTTTTTTTTTTTTTAGATTTATTTTTATTTATTTGAAAGGCACAGTTATACAGATAGAAAAGGAGATACAGAGAGAGAGAACAATCCACATGTTCACTCCTCAATGGCTAGGACTGGGCTAGGCTAAACCCAGAAGCACAGTAATAGGGACCTGGATCAGAAGCAGAGCAGCAAAGAGCTTAATGCAGTAAGCTAAAGAGCCAGTCCCTCAAAGTACATTTTTCATGCTACTTTTTATGTATATAGATTTTTTTCTGTAGGTTCCAGTAGGCAGTTAGTTTTTATTACCCTGTCACATTTCTTACACTTGTTAGAAGGACCAGCTTTCATACCTGTCTTAATTGTTGACATGTCTGCTACCTGTGAGTATCCTCCTGAGAGAGGACAACTTTGCCATTTTCAGGCTCAAGCACTTCTTTTGGCATAGTGGTTTTTGCACAGGGGTGGTGTTTCATAAATATTTAGCAATCAGAACATGCTATATTTGGAGGAGGGATTGATTTTGCCTCAAAATCTTGGTATTATGTTAAAAAAGCAAAGTAAATCTGTATGATTGTCTGCTTGGCCTTTTGGGAAACATTTTGTTTTGTGTATATTCATGTTTCTATCTTTGTATGTCTTAGGAAGTAAAGTGCATTTTCGGGTGGGTATTTTTTCAGCCTTAGATCACCAAATAATTGTTCTTAAGTTTCCAGTTGGAATTACATCTTTGAATTTTGCCTGAATATCCTATTTTAACATGTTCTATTTTTGATTGTACGAAACTAAACAGCATTTTGTTGATTGGAAAATATTAAGAAATTTAGTTTTAAATTCAGACTAAATAACTTTACAAGCATTGTCTCATTTAGTCTTCATAGCGATTCCACCAGGTAAAATGATGACCTATTCTATTTTGAAAAACAATAACAGAAAGATTGATAAGAGTAAGTTGCTGCAAGTTAAGAACAGTTACACAAGGGGCTTGTCTTAACCAAATACTGACTCTGTAGCAAAAGGAATTATCAGACATTTAGATGATTGTTTTGGCTGCTTAACTCTTCAATTTAACTGACTTGTATATATCCACAGGTTCCAGAACAGTGATGGAGAAATTAAGTATTTGCAGTTAGCAGAGGAGCTGATTCGTCCTGAGAGAAACACATTGGTTGTAAGTTTTGTGGACCTGGAGCAGTTTAACCAGCAACTTTCCACCACCATTCAAGAGGAGTTTTATAGGTATGGACGCATTTATCTTCCTGACTCTAGTAGTAGAGCCAGGAAAACTAGCTGCTAGACTAGAAGTCTAAGAATGGGCAAAAGGGTAGCTGTTGTGCTTTTTCATAGTGATATTTTATTTCTTGTTCCCCTTAAAGTTTGTTCTTTTGAAGTCGTAAACTCAATATGCATATTAATTTTATACTGGTAAAAATTGAGAGAATAGTAAGGCCGAAATAACCCTGTTTTGAGACTTGTAATTCCATCACCTATAATTAACCACCGTTAGTAGATCTGCTGCAATAGAGTTCAAAGACCCTTCCAAATCTGCAGTTGCAGTGATTTGGAAGGGTCTTTTTGTGTGTTTTGTTAAAGGGTGTTCTTTTTTTATCCTTTTTCACTTAACAGTATTAAACATCCCCCCCCCCCCCTTTTTTAAGATTGTTTAATGTGAAGGCAGAGTTAGAAAAATAACTTCTATCCTACTGATTCATTTGTGTCTGCATTTGGGTTAGATAAATGTGACCATAATCAGTTTAAAATAAACACTGGGGCCCTGCAACAGTAGCTCAGTAGCTAAATCCTTGCCTTGCAAGTTCTGGGATCCCACATGGACATCAGTTCATGTCCCAGCTGCCCACTTCCATCTAGCTCCCTGCTTGTGGCCTGGGAAAGCAGTCACGGACGGCCCAAAATCTTGGGACACTGTACTTGTGTGGGAGACCCAAAAGAGGCTGCTGGCTTGGCTCAGCTCTAGTCATTGTGGACATTTGGGGACTGAACTAGCAGGTGAAAGATAGTTGTGTCTCCTCTGAAATCTGCCTTTCCAGTAAAAATTTAAAAAATAAATTGAAACACACACGGGGCAGTCATGAAAGAAAAATGGAATGTAGGAATAAGGCATGATAATGCTCTTGTGGTAGGTGGAGAGATAGATTGTGTCAGTGTTTCTAGTCATGGGATGCTTGGAGCAATATTGAAGGTAATGGGTAAGGCCACTACCTATGATGCTGGCATCCCTTTAAGCTCCTGTTGGAGTCTTGGCTATTCCTCTTCCGATCCAGCTGCCTGATGTTGTGCTTGAGAAAAGCAGCAGAAGATGGCCTAAGTGCTTGGGCACCTCTGCACCAACGTGGGAGACCCAGAAGTTTCTGTCGTTCCCTTTCTGTGGAATTCTGCTATTCAAATTAGTAATATAAATCATTAAAGAAGAAAAAAGAATTGTTAGAGAAGACTTAAAACGTTCATTAAGTGGGAGGGAAGTAGAAAATTAGGCTTGGTGATAGAAGCGCCTGTACTAAACCTCCTACATGAAGTGTCCAGCATTTTTCTCTTCTCAAAGTAGCTCTTACGTCCAAAGATATGCTGAGATCTTACGTCAAAAGATATGCACACATGAGATGAACCAGTCAATTGTAACATTTCTGCTTATTTGCTAAATTACTCCCTTGTCTTTATTTATCATCAGTCAAGAATGAAGCAGAAATGTTAGTCTGATACCAAATATGAGGTTTTAATTACATTGAAAATAGCCCAGTGCAACCTCACAGTATTGAACATCACATTACTTTAGCTAGAGTTTGGTTGAACAAAGCAGTGGCCTAGAATGGGAGTGATAAATGATTATTTAAACATAAAATAAAGTATTTACCTTTGGTGCTTATTCCCTGGTGGGATGGTAGAGGGTTGATGCAGACGCTTAATCAAAGATTGGGTAGTGCAGCAAGTCGTTGTGTTCAGGTGAAATTCCCTAGTCTCAGCTGTTGCAAGCATGAAGATGAAAGAGAACTTGGTAGACCTCTGAGTTATCAGTTGACTTTTTCTTTTTCAGAGTTTACCCTTACCTGTGTCGGGCCTTAAAAACTTTCGTCAAAGACCGTAAAGAGATCCCTCCTGCCAAGGATTTTTACGTTGCGTTTCAAGACCTGCCTACCAGACACAAGTAAGAAAAACTCATCTTAGAAAAGGAATTCACCAAATAGTAATGATACTATTTAGCTGATGTTCGGAAAACTTCGTAGATTGCTTTAGATACACTGATAGGCTGTGAATGAGTTATTTAATATATACATGATGTTTGCTCCCCTGACCAGGGCCTTGGTTGTTTCATCTGTAAAATCTGGCTTGATTTTTTACTTAAATAATGTGGAAGGTATCTTTATTGCTGTAAAATTACCTTGTCATGACAATGACAAGAATTGTACCAAAAAAAGAAGATACTTACAAACTGATGTGAAATATAGGGGAAGGAAAATGTTTTGTATGTGCGCTTTGAAACGGATTGGCTTTTTTTTTGAGTTATAAACAGGTACACAGAATATGTAGTTTTGAAAAACATTTGATGTGAAGGTGGGGTGGTAAATCAGTGAAACAGAGCAATTCTCTAAATTGTTAAATTTTAGAACACCTTTTAAAGAGGTTGGCAAAAAATGAGTCACACGAGAACATGCAGTTAATGAGAACACTTGTAGAGATTTACTGATCTAATGATTTTGTCACTTAAATACAGAGTTTTCAAGCACTCCTTTTACAGTTATTTAAAATTAAATTGTTTAAACAAATTTCAGTGATATTTTTGAAAACTGAAACTACTGAAAGTGCTTTACAAAATTGCCAGCTTTTTCATATAAAATGGGTATATGAAAATAGTTTAAACTTCTGAGTAGAAAATTTTTTTGTGATAACGTCATTATGAAAGTAATTCATTCTTAGAGATTATAGATGAGAAAAATCTGTGTAGAAGAAAGCTAGGATTATCCTGCTTGTAATTTTAATTTTTATTCATTTGGCATCCTTTTTTTGTTGCTGTTCTCTCCCACGCCTGTTAAGTGTTTTATTGTGAATGTGTATGCACTGCAATTTAAGAATGCCTGTGTTGACTCAATTGTTTTTTCAGTAAAGTCCAAAGAACTACTTTTGTTTTTATTATCATAAATTACTGAATTTCATTATTAACAGGTTTCTTAGTTGAGAAATGAATATTTACTAGTAGGATATTTATCTTTAAATAGGATTCGTGAACTCACCTCATCCAGAATTGGTTTACTCACTCGGATAAGTGGGCAGGTGGTACGGACTCACCCAGTCCACCCAGAGCTGGTGAGCGGGACTTTCCTGTGCTTGGACTGTCAGACGGTGATCAGGGATGTGGAACAGCAGTTCAAATACACGCAGCCCAATATCTGCAGAAACCCAGTTTGTGCCAACAGGAGGAGATTCTTGCTGGATACAAATAAATCAAGATTTGTTGACTTTCAGAAGGTATTTATTTCCTTCTCTTTAAATTAGCTTATGTTCCAGTTCCCTTTCACACCCTTGCATTTAGTTTATTTAGGTAATATTACATTTTAATTTTATGTGAATTACTGTCAAGTAACCACAGAGATAGTTGTTTAGTGGTTTGGATACCAGTGTCTCACACTTAAGTACTTATGTTTCTCAGCTGTGTCTCCCAGCAAGCTTCCTACAGATGCAGATATTGGAAGGCAAATAATTGGATTCCTGGCAACCTCTTGGGAAACCTGAATTGCGTTCCCAGCTTTGGTACCTGGACTAATATTAGTCATTCTGGACATTTGCAAAGTGAACCAGCATATGGGAGCACTATCTTTGTGTCTCCCGCGACCCTTGTCAAATAAATAAAATAGGGAAGCAAGAAAGAAAATATTTGTCAGAATTTAAACAGTTACTGAAGATTACAGTGATGATTAATTGAAACTAAAAAACATGGGAGAAGTAGCCTTGTGTTAAGTGTAAACTTTGGTAGATAGGTGCTGGACAGACTAGGTAGAAGCTCTGAGATGATCATGACTGAAGTGAAGCATCCAACTTGGAGGTCATCTGAGAGATGATTTCATATGGGGTCTTGAATGGCTTGATCCTTAAATCTTGCTTGTAAGTTTGGACCTGTCTTGATAAACATTGGAAATACACATATATTATCTGACAGGAGCTCCCACCCACTGGCTTATTCCCTAAGTGGTTAGGTTGTGATGGGTTGGCCAGGATCTGAGAATTCAGTCCAGTTTTCATTGAGTTGCAGGAACCCAACCATCTGATCCATCACCTTTTGCTTTCCAGATTATGTTTCATCAGGAAGCTGGAATTAGTGCAAAAATTTATAAGCAGTAGGATAGTTCATAACACTTCTGTTATTTGTTTCATTTAATTTATATTGTATGGCGTTATTCTTGTTGTAGGTTCGCATTCAAGAGACTCAAGCTGAGCTTCCTCGAGGGAGTATACCCCGCAGTTTAGAAGTCATCTTGAGGGCAGAGGCTGTAGAGTCAGCTCAAGCTGGTGACAAGTGTGACTTTACAGGGACACTGATTGTTGTCCCTGATGTCTCCAAGCTTAGCACACCAGGTCAGTAATCTGTCTAAAATAAATTGTTAGTGAATTGTAGTTTAGGTGCTTTTCATATCTTCTTGTCTTTTTGACCTCTAATCAGGGATGGCCAAGGAGATATGAAAAGAACAAAAACAAATTGGTTATGCTACAGCAGATGCTATCAAAAATGTTATGAAAGTTTTCAAAGCTTACATGAAACTTGGATTTCATATTTGTTTGATGATCTTTGGATCCTAGAACCTTTCTTTTTGGAACTGAGAAATAACCTACAATTCAATCTTTCAGGAGCACGTGCAGAAACTAATTCCCGTGTCAGTGGTGTCGATGGTTATGAGACAGAAGGGATTCGAGGACTCAGAGCTCTTGGTGTCAGGGACCTTTCTTACAGGCTGGTCTTTCTTGCTTGCTTTGTTGCACCAACAAACCCAAGGGTGAGTCCTTATATTTGTCACGTGCAAAATTTGAAAAAGACCTCTGGATGCTACCAGAGTTAATACTTTTCAATAATTCAGTTTTAATACTTTTTCAGGTTTGTGTTTCCATACATAAGAGCTCAGTGCTTTGAATGCAGTACAAAAATTATCCCTGTTGGTTTTGTTAAGTGTCAAGTGTCATGGTTCCTCTGTTCTGAGTAAATAAAAAATGCTTGGTACTAATGTGGGAAGTGAAGTTAATTTTTGTTTCTGAGAGTAATTTACCTCTGACAAAATTGTCATTCAGTTAACTTTCTGACTCGAATGGAAAAAGATTTGAAAAATAATGCAGTATTACAAAAGAGGTGGATAGGCATGACACAATAGCCTAGTGGCTAAATATTCACCATGTAACTGATGGAATCCCATATGAGCACTGGTTCCTGGCCCAGCTGCTCCACTTCCCAACCAGCTCCCTGCTTGTGGCCTGGGAAAACAGTGGAGGATGGCCCAAAGCCTTGGATCCTGCATTCATACGGAGACCCAGAAGAAGCTTCCTCGTTCCTAACTTTGGATCTGTTCAACTCCAACAATTGGTGGCCACTTGGGGAGTGAACCAACAGACGGAAGATCTTTTTTATTCTTTGACTATCCTTTCTGTAGATCTGACTTTCCAATAAAATAAAATCTTTTAAAAAAGAAGAGAGAGAGAAGAACAGAATATTATGTTCTTTGGATGTGTTGGTGATTAACATTTTATGTCTCATTTCTTCATCAGATTCATTTAAATAATTAACTGATAAGAGCTTGTTTTTATTTTTTTAAAGATTCATATTTATTTATTTGAAAAGCAGAATTATATATAAAGACAGAGATATTCCATCTGCTGGTTCACTGCCCAAATTGCTGTAATGGCTATGACTGGAACAGATCTCCCAGGTGCATGGCCAGGATCCTAGGACCTAGGGTCGTGTTTCTACTGCTTCATCAGATATGTTGCAAGTAGTGAATGGAAAGTAGAGCACCTGGAGTTGAGCCAGTGACCAGATCGGGTGCTGGACTGTAAGTGGCAGCTTAGTGTGCTAGACAAGTGGTACCAGCCTCCTGGTGATTCCTTTTTTTTTTTTTTTTTTTTAAACTTATTTGGATAATTGCAACCTGGGGTCTTATTTCTGGAGTTCAAAAATGATAATTATGAAACTTCATAGACAGATTAGATTGTTGATCTGTAAGGTATGTTCTGTTTCTTGTTTGTGGTATAGTTCTTTCTCCTCAAAACTGTTTTGGTTGCTTCTTCACTGGGTTTGCTTTTTTTCCATTCCTCAGTTTGGAGGGAAGGAGCTCAGAGATGAGGAGCAGACAGCTGAGAGCATTAAGAACCAAATGACGGTGAAGGAGTGGGAGAAAGTATTTGAAATGAGTCAAGATAAAAACCTATACCACAATCTTTGCACCAGCTTGTTCCCTACTATACATGGTAAGAATTCTTCAGTTTGTGACCTATACTTGAAATCAACATGATTGTAAATGACATTAGTTATCTTATGTGTGATAATTATAAAACACTTATTTTCATGTAAGCATTGTTTTCATGTAAACATTATTTACATGAAAATGTTTTTCATGAACTTGGGAGTCTTCAGGGACTGTGGAAATGGGTCATATGGAGAGTTTCTATTTGAGAAAGGGCAGTGGTAGTTATGTCATGTAACATGCTTAATACCAGTTAATTGATACATTTAAATGGTTAAAACGACAAATTTTATTGCCTGGACATGAGATTACTTAGTTTATGGGAGAATGGAACTGAAATAATTTTGAGAGATGGAGATTTCATTTTATTTCATGTTCATTACCGTCTTTCTTTACCTTTCACACTTTCTTTGTTTTTTCACTTTTTAAAGTAGAAATGTAAACTAGTAATGTATTATCATGTTTAGTTATATGTACTATGCATAACTGCTGTCATTTTGTTACTGGTAGAACTCTGGGATGATTGACAACTGATTTATCAGAAACAGATGCAGCTTCAGGGTGGTACAAAGTCAAGGAGAAGAGGAATTTTTCAGCTTCTTTAAAATCTTATAGAGTCATCATAGAATGTGCTACTAGTTGTTAACCAAAACCTTGTTACATGGCTGATGTAGCTCCTGTTTAGTTGCTCACTGATATTAAATCAAATCCCCCCTCCTTTTTTAAAAAGATGTATGTATTTTTATTTCAAAGTCAGATATATAGAGATGAGGAGAGATAGAGAGGAAGATCTTCCATCTGATGATTCACTCCCCAAGTGACCACAATGGCCGGTGCCGTGCCAATTTGAAGCCAGGAGCCAGGAGCTCTTCCAGGTCTCCCATGTGGGTGCAGAGTCCCAAGGCTTTGAGCCGTTCTTAACTGCTTTCCCAGGCCCCAAGCAGGGAGCTGAATGGGAAGCGGGGCTGCTGGGACATGAACCGGTGCCCATATGGGATCCCTTTGCATGCAAGGCGAGGACTTCAGCCGCTAGGCCAGTGTGCCAAGCCCATCAAATCCCCTTTGTGTGTTTAAGGACATAATTAGATTTTCAGGTTTGTTGTTTTGCGCTTGGAGTCTTCTGTATTTGTTATCCATACTTAATCAGATAAGACTGTGTATTTTTCTCAGGGATCTATTTTCAGTTATTTAAAATTAACCTTTTCTACCTGTGTATTTGGTCAATAAAACAACCAAAACCTGGTATGTTAATTCTTCATAGATTTTAGGCTGTTATGGAGAGTAGATATGGACATTTTAATACTGCTCTGTTCCCCCATAATTTAGTTGCTGTTCAACTTTCAATATTTAGTTCCTTTAAAAAAATTGTCTCCATAGTCTGCAAGTTCAGAATCCAGAAATGTAAGAGCCTTAAATGAGTGGTTCTGGTTTAAAATCTTAGAATGAGGTTGCAGTTAGGAGACAAAAGGCCCTGTAGTCATCTGAAGACTTGACTAGGAGTGGAGGAGCCGCTTGAAGAAAGCCTTCTCATACGGCTTCCTAGTTACCACTAGTTGTTAATGGAAGTGTGCATGTAGGAGAGCGCTTTGAGTATCTTTATAACGTAACATCTTGCTTCTTTCAGAGCACGTGATTTAAGGGGAAGTAAAAGCCATCTTTTTTTTTTCCTAAGTTATTTTATTGGAATGGCAGATTTACAGAGAGTAGAGACGAAGAAAAATCTTCCATCTCTGATTCACTCCCCAAATGGAGCTGAGCCAGTCCAAAGCCAGGAGCTTATTCCGGATCTCCCACATGGCTGCAGGGTCCCAAGGCTTTGGGCCGTCCTCGACTGCTTTCCAGCCCACAAGCAGGGAGCTGGATGGGAGGTGGAGCAGGCGAACTTGTGCCAGGATGGGATCCTAGTGCTTGTGACGGGAGGATTAACTAATTGAGCCATCACGCCAGGCTCATAAAGTGCTTCTTATGACTTAATGTTAAGATGTTACAGGCTTTCAATTAATGTGCTGTTGTTAAAAGTAGGTCGTTTCGAAGATACAGTTCAGTATTACTCCCAGATAAAAGATGAACTCCCAATGAAATTCTTAAGTATGTCTTGACAATAGGATGCTCTACTTTGTACTGTTGTCTGTGCCTATGGTATCATGATACATTTAAATAGCAGAATGATGAGCTTCTGACTGTTGTTGAAGGACTATACTATTGTAATAAATATAGGAGAAATCACTGAGCCTATGAAGCTGTATCATGGAAAAAATATTTTTTAATTAAAAAAAAAAAACGGGGCCAGGTGCAATAGTCTCACCTTGCACACACCAGGATCCATATGGGCGCCAGTTCTAATCCCTGCAGCTCTGCTTCCCATCCAGCTCCCTGCTTGCGGCTTGGGAAAGCAGTCGAGGACGGCCCGAAGCCTTGGGGCTCTGCACCCACCCACCCATTTGTGAAACCTAGAAGAAACTCCTGGCTTGACATCAGTGCAGCTCTAGCCGTTGTAGCCACTTGGGGAGTGAATCATCAGACAGATCTCTGTCTCTCCTCCTTTCCTGTATATCTGACTTTGCAATAAAAATAAATAATTTAAAAATAGAATGTTAAAAAAAAACACCATATCCCTCTAGAAATATTTTGTATCATAAATTTGTGGAATGGATTTTTTTGATTGATAATTTTATTTATATTAAAATCACAGAGTTAACATGTAATGGATATCATTATGAACCTAGAGGGGAAAACAGAGTGGAAGGGAGGGATTTTGGGGAAGGGGAGAGCCCACTGCCAACTAAATTGTAACAAAAAACAATTTAAAAAAAGAAAAAAAGTAGTAGTTTTTTTAATAATGAGATTGAAGTGGATTAATATATAATGTCATTTTTCATTTAATATGTTTAAGAGTTTTTAGCCTAGCTTTGCATACTTTTTATGTTTTTAACATTTAGAAATCAGTACACAGGAAAAAATTCTCTAAATTTGCTTTTATTTATGCAGTTTTCTACACTGATACTACTTTGATTTAAAAATCATCTGTACTCTAAATGGCTTTCTGTTATTAAAAATAAAAGATTTAATACCAGATGGAACTCAAAATGCATAGATACCATCATGCATTTTAAAAGAAAAATATTGCTTTTGCAATATCACAAATTAAATAATTTCTAAGATTTAAATCAAGAGCTACAGAGAGGAGAGATTGTTCTTCCACATACTGGTTCACTTCCCAAATGCCTGGATCTGGCCAGTCCCAAAACAGAAGTTCCAGATTTCCCTCATGTGTACAAGCAGTTGGGTCATCCTCCACTGCTTTCCAGGCACATTAGCAGCTGGCTGGATCAGAAGTGGAGCAAGCAGGACTGGAACCAGCACCCGTATGGGTTTCCGGCACCACAGATGGAACTCCAACTCTGGAAATTTTAGGCTTCCGTTTTTTTGATAGACAGTGTAAAACACCAAAGCACTGATCAAATAAGATTGTTTTGAATTGAATAACATATGCTAGCATGTATCAATTGAGGATAAAAGGATAACAAACTGTACTTCTGTTTGTAAACAATTTTCTTTGCAAATAATTCTGTGTTTTCGCAATGCTTGAGTGACAGTCTTCTTTGTGTGAAGAAGAATCTGTTCTTTGTTCTCACTTAAGTGGCTCTTGTGGACATGCTGTGTTGTTCAGTATGCAGCAGCAGCTCAATGTCTGGTAACCAAAAGGAATTCCTAATTGCGGTACGGGGATCATGAGGAATAGTATCTGTAGGAATCTTTCTGTTAGCACTGAGGCAAAGGAAAATGTTTTTCTAGACATTCCCCTAAGGTAATCAGTAATCTGCTTATATTCTTTCATGTTAAGCATTTTAGTTTTTAGTGTATAAGCAATTGAGAAAATGTCGCAACCTACTTCTTCAGTTTATCGTATATTTCGTTAAGAGGTTCTGTCATCTGTTCAACCAAACCGTATTGCTCTCTTTGTAAATTTTCCTCTTTTTCACTGTTGAAATAGTAGATAACGCTTTCTCAATGTCATGTCTCGGGTTCTTTTTCTTCTTACTTGGAAATTTCTTCAGGTGCTTTTTTGTGCCATTAAGTGAGTTCAGCAGTCAGACATTTCACTTGCAGAATTAATGCCAGCCAAAAATTTGAATCAATGAGCATGTCAGTTCTCCTCAGCAGTAGTTCTGACAACCTGTATCCTTCCATCTTGTTCTAAAAGTTCTTTAGCATTTGCAACAACTTTCACATCTGTAGTACTACTATTCAGATTTAGATAATGGCGATTCACTGATGTGTTTGATGAATTTTTTTTTATCATCCCATAAGGAATATATAGAAAAGTTTTAACTTTTCTTACAGGCTTTATGAATAGGTTTCAGATAAAAGCAGCTATAGAATGCATTCAGTGTCTTACTTAGTCCATGTCAGTTCAGTTAGCGTGTATTCAGGTAATAAATGTGAAGTGGCATGGACCATTTTCTTAAACCCTTGGAAAGATAGTTGGAAACATCAACATCTTTGTCTGCTATTCACTCCCCAAATGGCTGTAATTTCTTTTCGGCCTAGCTGAAGCCAGGATTCAGGAACCTCTCGTCAAGGTCACCCACAGGGCTAACGGGGCCCAAGCACTGGGGCCATTTTCTGCTGCTTTCTTTCCCAGGCTCATTAGCAGAGAGCTGGATTGGAAGCAAAGCAGTCAGGATATGACTGACAGTCACATGGGATACCCGTATCATGAGTGAAGCCATGTGTACCACAAAACCATCCCTATTTGTTCAAATTCTTGATGGGTCTGCAAGAGCTGTCATTAGAACAAGTGTGGGAGACTGTGGTAGAGATAGATACTTCAGATTGTTCATAAAGAAATCGAATTAAAAGTTGCTTATTTTGGTACCAAAAAATTTGTGCATATATTTTAAATAATACCTTGACCCCCTTCTTAAAGACCCCTCTTAATTCAGTTACAAAGAGGAATGTTTGAGAACCCATACACTTGGAAGGGTTTTTGTGTGGGAAGGCCTCAGTGATAAGGAAAGACTGTTAGGATGGTGAGCACTGGAATGACTGATGTGATGTAAGAGAGCACATTCAAGCCTGGCTGCCTGGCTGAGCACGCAGCACAAACCAAAATGGGAAACCAAGTGTCTTTTCCCTATTCTTGGGCCTTATGTGAGCTTTCCCTGCCTTTTGGTTGATAAACATGGCTCTGTAATATTTCCTGTGAAATTGTTTTAACTTTATGTTGAAAATTAACTGCTTTATAACTTTAGGTTCTTCTGATTTCAGGCAATGATGAAGTGAAACGAGGTGTCCTGCTGATGCTCTTTGGTGGTGTTCCAAAGACTACAGGGGAAGGGACCTCTCTTCGAGGGGACATAAATGTTTGTATTGTTGGTGACCCGAGTACTGCTAAGAGCCAGTTTCTCAAGTAAGTTTTTGTCAACAAGAAAGTATGCTCGGGGGCGGTGTCCTGATGTAGTAAGCTAAGCCTCTGTCTGTGGTACAGGTATCTCCTGGGCACTAATTCAAGTCCAGGTTGTTCCACTTACAGGCTGGGAGAGCGTCAAAAGATGGCTCAAGTCCTTGGGTCAATGTGGGAGACCCAGAGGAGGCTCCTGGCTTAGGATCAGCTCCTGCCACTGTAGCTATTTGGAGAGTAAACCATTGAATAGATTTGTCTCTGTCCTCTCTGTAACTTTGCCTTTATAATAAAAATAAACTAATTTGTTTAAAAAAATACAGGGGCCCGGTGCAGTGGCCTAGTGGCTAAAGTCTTCATTTTGAATGCTCTGGGATCCCATATGGGTACCGGTTCTAATCCAGGCAGCCCTGCTTCCCATCCAGTTCCCTGCTTGTGACCTGGAAAAGCAGTGGAGGATGGCCCAAGGTCTTGGGATGCTGTGCCTGCCCGGATCTGAAGCTCCGGGCTCCTTGCTTTGGATTGGCTCAGCTCCAGCTGTTGCAGCAGCTTAGGGAGTGATTCAACAGACAGAAGATCTTCCTGTCTGTATATCTATATCTGACTAAATCTTTTGTTTTTTTTTTCCAAAGGTACACATAGGCCTAGACTTGCTGTGCTCGCAAGAGTACAGTGTATAAGCGTGAGAGAAGGGTAAATTAACTGTTGATTACATTACTTAATGATTTGTGAATTTTAAAGCAATATATTTCAGTGTTTTAAAAAAGAATTTCATGATTTCAGTCGTGCACAGAACTCCGAATCATGGGTAGATATTTTCATTATTGTAAGTCATGGTTTACATATATTTTTTAAAAGATTTATTTTTATTATTTTTTTATTGGAAAGGCGGATATACAGAGAGGAGAGACAGAGAGGAAGATCTTCCATCCGATGATTCACTCCCTAAGTGAGCCATAACGGCCGATGCTATGCCAATCCAAAGCCAGGAGACTCTTCTGGGTCTCCCACGCAGGATGCAGGGTCCCAAAGCTTTGGGCCGTCCTCGACTGCTTTCCCAGGCCACAGGCAGGGAGCTGGAAGTGAAGCGGGGCTGCTGGGATAGAACCGGCGCCCATATGGGATCCCGGACGTGCAAGGCGAGGACCTCAACCACTTGTGCCACCGTGCTGGGCCCGGTTTACATATTTTTATATTTACTCTATAAACATTTTGATGTTGAGACTAAGAATTATAAAAATCTGTAAGGTTTTAAGTAGGATATACTTTCCAAAAGCGTTGCTCTTAGATTCTTCATATTGGCTTTAACATGACTAAACATTAGCATTTTGTGTCTGGTTTTGATTATTTAAAAAATTATTTACTTGAAAGAGTGGAGGAACAGAAATATTCTGTCTGCTCCCCAAATGCCCACAGGCAGCAGGGATGGTCCAGAGTTCAGTTACTTGGGCCATCACCAGTACTTCTTCCAGTGGTGGATATTAGCAGAAAGTGGGACTTGAGGTACTTGAAAATGGGACCAGACCTGGCGCAGTGGCTAGGTGGCTAAATCTTTGCCTTGAACACAATGATATCCTATATGGGCGCTGCCAGAGTCCAGCTCCAGCTGAGTTTGGAGCTCGAGAAGGGTGCGTGAAGTAGGCGTAGAAAGAAGAGATGGACCACTACAATTCCAACATCATTGTGGACCACGCGAGAAAGCTGTCTGCTTTATTTATACAGAAGCAGTACACAGTCTTTTTTTAGGGCATTTTTACATAGCTTCAAGGGGGGCACAATTTACAACCGCTTGAGAGGCGAGCGAGGGAGGACCCCACATTCTTTGCTTATCTCGGCTTGCCAGCCCCTACTTATTTCCCTCAAGTTTGGGTCCCATCCTTGGCACTGCCTGTGACAACCAGACCCCTACCTTGAATTACGCATGGGAAAAGGGCTGAGACCTTGGTTTATGGGGATTAGGGTTGGCACCAAAGGTCATTAGGTCTGCAGGCTCACACAGTTTGTTAACTAAGCAAGAGTTACAGTGACGGAAAGAGCTGCAATTAGCAATGAGCCATGTTTACTCCATTTAAGTTTCTGCTCTACAATGGGCAAGTGAATGTTTCCAAAGATAACTCTACAGATAGTTTCACCTTAAGACAGGGCATTATCCATTCTGATGTTGCAGCCAACATTTTCTCAGTAGACGACACATCTTATTCAGTAATACATTCCTACTACAATTCTTATTCTATAACTTATCCATCACTTAATGAGAGAAATACATCAAAAGAGAAAAAATATAAAAATCTAAGACAAAAGTTTTAAACATTAAATCCCTCTACAACTGTAGGCTCTACAACCTCATAAGTGATCAAACAATAATCAAAAGTATACATGATGTTAGTAAAGTCACCCTATATTTCCTCTAGTTAAAAAATTATGAAGGCAGCCAAAGCAACTACATTTACTATGTTCTAAAGAGTTGAGAGTTGCAAGGACAGGCTAACCTTTAAGGTCACAGTAGCTATATTTTTGCCATAGCAGGATAGCCTTTAGGGTCCCAGTAACTATATTTTTGCCATAGCAGGATGGCCTTTTGGGGTCACAGTAATTGTAACAGGATAACCTTTAGGGTCCCAGTAACAGGATAGCTATATTTTTTGTCATAGCAATTTCAACCCATACTCCCATCACTTCCATTAGTTTGTGAAACTCTTATCAGGCCATTTCCCAGAAAGCATGCTAAATATTTGGGCCAGATCTCAGAGCAATGGTTAGGCACACAATAAGGTGTCTGGAAACAGCATGGGCTTAATTGTACTCCTGTGCGCAGTTAAAGGCCCACTCACCAAGACATTATCAGTAACATTAACTTTTAAGCTCATGTTGGTTGTAAAAGCCATCTCACAGGGGCAAACTATGCCTAATAGATTGCAGAATTCTTAGTGGGGTGGTTGAGTGTCCATGTAAACAGGGGGTGAGACTGCGTCAAGGTGGTCAGAAATCCGCCGGGCCCTGCCAAACAGCTGTAAGCTCCCCCAGGCCCTGCCAAACAGGGGAGCTGTTCTCTTCACACCTTCGTGTCATTAACACCTACTGCACGGACACCAGGAGGGCGCTTGTGTGTGTTCTGGCTGCTCTACTTCTCATACCACTCCCTGCTTGTGGCCCGGGAAAGCATTAGAGGATGGCCCAAAGCCTTGGGATCCTACCACCCACATTGGAGACCTGCAAGAAGCTTCTGGCTCCTGGCTTTGGCTCGGCCTAACTCGGCCACTTTGGGAGTCAATCAGTGGACAGAGGATCTTTCTGTCTCATCTTCACTCTGTAAGTTTGACTTTCCAATAAAAAAAAATCTACCCCAGGACCAAAGATTTATTTATTTTTATCAGAAAAGCAGATGGCTACAATGGCTGGAACTGCACCATTGCAGTCTGGAGCCACAAGCTCGATCTCCCATGAGGGTATAGGAACGCAAGGCTTTGGGTCATCCTCCTCTGCTTTCCCAGACTACAAAGAGCAAAATCAGAAGTTCAGCAGCCAGAAAACAAACCAGGGCCAAAAGGGATATCAGTGCTTTGATTACTACATGGGTGTGGAAGCCCAAGCATTTGAGCCGTCATCCGCTGCTTTCCTAGGAAAGGGCAGGAAACTAAATTGGAAGTGGTGCCCATATAGGATGCCAGCACTGCAGGTGGAAGATTAATTTGCTAAGCCACTGTGCTAGTCCCTAGCCTTTCATTTCTCAAGGGTGGTCTTATCTATGGGGTTTTGTAGATGCCCTTTATCAGGTTTAGGAAATTGTTTTACTCCTGCGTTGTAGCACTTTTATCGAAGATTATTGACTTTTGTCAAATACTTTTTCTGCATCATTTTAAGTACTTGTGTGGTTTGCATTTATTAATGTGGCATATTGATTTCTCAAATGTTACATCAGTCTTGTTTTCTGGAATAAATCCCATATCTTGTTATTTTACTGTTTTGTTCTTTTATTTTATGTTTAAGATTTATTTTTATTGGAAAGGAAAATTTACAGAGAAACAGATTTTCCACCTGCTGGTCACTCCCTGGTTGGCCACAACGGGCAGAGCTAAACTACTCTGAAGCCGGGAATCAGGGTCCTAGTAGTTTGGTGCATCCTCTGTTCCTTTCCAAGGCTATAAACAGGGAACTGCATGGGAAGTAGAGAGCAGCCAGGGTACAAACTGGTGCCCATATGATGTTCCGGCTCTTACAAGACGATTTTCTAATACATTGTCACAGCTTAGCTGTTAACTGCTTATAGTTTTTAAATTGTAATTTTTTCTAGTATCATCTTTGATTTCTTAGGAATTAATTTGGGTATTTTTTTTTAAGATTTACTTATTTTTATTACAAAGTCAGATATACAGAGAGGAGGAGAGACAGAGAGGAAGATGTCCCGTCCGATGATTCACTCCCCAAGTGAGCCGCAACGGCCGATGCTATGCCGATCCGAAGCCGGGATCCAGGAACCTCTTCCTCTTCTGGGTCTCCCACATGGGTGCAGGGTCCCAAAGCTTTGGGCCATCCTCGACTGCTTTCCCAGGCCAAAAGCAGGGAGCTTAATGGGAAGCAGGGCTGCCGGGATTAGAACCGGCGCCCATATGGGATCCCAGCATGTTCAAGGTGAGGACTTCAGCCGCTAGGTCACGCCGTCAGGCCCTATTTGGGTATTTTTTAAGAAGCCTAGAGATAAGCCTTACTATTTAATTTGTGGCATGTCTTTATGCCATGCTTAAGCATAATGCTATTCTGTAGTTCTTCGAGAAATTTAACCTTTAGTTGACATAAACTGCCAGTGTCTATTGCTGGAAAATCTGCTTGCTGTTCACATATTAATGAGTCTCTGATAACCTTGAACAGGCACGTGGAAGAGTTCAGCCCCAGAGCCGTCTATACCAGTGGCAAAGCATCCAGCGCTGCTGGCTTAACAGCGGCTGTTGTGAGAGATGAAGAATCTCATGAGTTTGTCATTGAGGCTGGAGCTCTCATGTTGGCTGACAATGTAAGAACATTTTACACTCAAGTCAGAATGCCTTGTACCCTCTCAGTAAAGGCCTAACAGTTTCTACTAAAAAAAAAATCCTTCAAAATATAAGTATTCTTTTGTCGATTAGATTGTTAATCTAGAATCTAATTGGATTGTCATCACTATCATCACTTTGTGATGAGCTGAGCAAGTGTGCTTGCTGTGATTGGTACTTCTAGCATTATTTTCCAGATCGTAATAGGTACTGACATAGATACATAATGAATTTTGCATTTATTTGGTTTACTTCCATAAGATTTGTATAAATGATATACAGACTGAAATTTGTTGCACCCTACCTTCACCCTTTAATTCTTCATCTTTACATCAGTGCTGAGTTAATTTTATGTGATGATGAATTTTATGTGATGCTTCAACACTGAATTAAACTGCAGTGTATATGTTTTGTTTTTCCCTTAGTTTTAGTCAGTCCGGTGTGTGTTTTTTATCTCGTTCTTGGATTGTTGAATTATCTTGCCTAGAAGAAGAAATTGAGAATGTTTTCTTACATATATTTCAGTTGTTGGAATAGAAAGATGTGACAGTAAATTTGGGTTTGCCTGTTTTATGTTTAAAAGAGAGTTTATGATAATGGAATTGTTTGGTTACAGGGGGTGTGTTGTATCGATGAATTTGACAAGATGGACATGCGGGACCAAGTCGCTATTCATGAAGCTATGGAACAGCAGACCATCTCCATCACTAAAGCAGGAGTAAAAGTATGTCTGCTTTGTTCAACTGAATAATACCTTGTAGACTGATGTGGTACTGGAAGTTGGCGTGGGTTTACTTCAGCATGTAATGGTGTGAGAATTAGCAATCCCACTTCTAGGTGTTTGGAGCATTGTGTAAATGTTTCTGTGACAGGAATTAGAGAAAGTCTTTGTGAACATTTTAGCATTTCACTTCATAATTTTCATGAAGGGTTTCCATATTTCATAAAATGTTTCTAATTAAAACAAAAAGTCATAGATCAACTGAAAATAATAATATTAGCCACTACTAAATTTTGAATCTCTTTCATTACGATTTAGTATTCAGTTGTATGCATCACAGTTTTATTTTTCAGCTTCCTAAAAAGCTGGATTGGATAATTTTTATCTTCCATATTAGGTAGTAAACATCTTTGAATAGACATTTTCCATAATTTGCAGAATATATTCCTAACTGCTGAGGTGTGCACTGTGCCAACCCTTAGTCTTTCACTTCTCAAATGTGGTCTTATCTGTGGGGTTTTGTAGATGCCCTTTTTTCAGTTTAGGAAATTGTTTTATTGCTACATTGTTTGCAAATTTGCAAAATAAATTCCTAACTGCTGATATGTGTACATCATAACACTAAAATCATAGAAGTACCTGTGAGCTGCACTTTGTACTCTTTTTTTTTTTAAATCGGGAAGGTGAAAGATAATAGCTTATGTAAGTGGCAGCAATCATATTACATGTTTATCATCCAGCCAGATGTTTTTAACATTGTCACAATTCTTTCTTTTGTGATCAGGCTACTCTAAATGCCAGAACATCCATTTTGGCAGCAGCAAACCCGATCAGTGGACACTATGACAGATCAAAATCATTGAAACAGAACATAAATTTGTCGGCTCCAATCATGTCTCGATTTGATCTCTTCTTTATCCTTGTGGATGAATGTAATGAGGTAACCACGTGAGCTGTCCTGTCACTGCTAGCTTTCCTTAACATTTCCAGTTTGAATAATTGTACCACACAAGGCAGAAAGGGTACTCTGCTCAACACCTGATGCATTGTGTGCGCTGACCCTTTCATTCTGTCAGGTTGATGTGTGCCGTAAGTACTGTTTTAATGCCCAGAAGAAAAATGAGGGAGGCAAATTACAGTTAACTGCTGTCTGTAGTCTTAGATGTTTGTAAAACACAAGTTATTCTGTGTATGTTTGGTTCTGTTGGTTCTTCAGTTTATTTTTGGAGGGGGGAGGTCACCTTGAAAAAGCTTAGTTGCTGTGGAGTTTTTTCTTTTAATTAACTATAAGTCATTTTTTTTTCCCTAAGGTTTATTTATTTTTTGGAAAGTCAGATATACAGAGAGGAGGAGAGACAGGGATGAAGATCTTCTGTCCGATGATTCACTCCCCAGGTGGCCACAATAGCTCGAGCTGAGCTGATCTGAAGCCAGAAGCCTGGAGCTTCTTCCAGGTCTCCCACACGGGTGCAGGGTCCCAAGGCTTTAGGCCATCCTCGACTGCTTTCCCCGGGCCACAAACAGGGAGCTGGATGGGAAGTGGAGCTGCCAGGATTAGAACCAGCACCCATGTGGGATCCCAGGCTTGCAAGGCAAGGACTTACCACTACGGTATCACACTGGGCCCTAAGTCATTTATTTGTTATTTCTTCCCTGCGTACCGTTGAATTGTTGCTTTTCTTTCCTCCTCAGTATGTGATAGTTTTAAGATTGGAAAAATGCAGGTGTACCTCAATTCTTACATGTTACTTTATTAGAGCTAATTATACTTAAATATTTAAAAACATTGCATAGCTCAGATATATACAGAACTATAAAATGGCAATCTGTCATAGCTAATACTAATAGAGACTTCATCTTAATTACTAAGCATAGAGGTGTTCTGCTTTTCATTTTACACCATCATGACTTACCATGGGAAGTTTAGATATCTAAATAAATAAAAGCCATCTGGCTTATAAATGGAGGGTTTATATTTTTCTTTGTTTTCCCCTACACAAATACACTTATATTTAACTATGCACAACCAGAGGTTCCCTGTGCTTCATTAATTAAGTTAGTTTTGTGGGCAAATGAATTTAGGATTCACTCTTTTTTAAATTAAGAGAGATAACCTTTTTCAAATTTTAATTGGAAATAATTTTACACTTAAAGTTAAAAGAAAAATTCCAGTATATACAACGCCCATTCCATATTAACTGCTCCTTTGCTTTCTCAATATATACATATATTTTTTTTAAGATTTACTTACTTTTGGGCCCGGTGCGATGGCGCAGTGGTTAAGGTCCTCACCTTGCACGCCCGGGATCCCATATGGGCGCCGGTTCTAATCCCAGCAGCCCCGCTTCCCATCTAGCTCCCTGCTTGTGGCCCGGGGAAAGCAGTCGAGGACGGCCCAAAGCTTTGGAACCCTGCACCTGTGTGGAAGACCCAGAAGAAGCTCCAGGCTTCAGATCGGCAAAGCATTGGCCCATTGGCTGCTGCGCTCACTTGGGGAGTGAGCCATCAGACAGAAGATCTTCCTCTGTCATTCTCCTCTCTGTATATCCGCCTTTCCGATAAAAAAAAGTTTTCACTGTGAATCTGAACAAATTACTTAACTTTTAAGGGCCTCAGGTAGCCAATTTACTGAAAATGGAGTTACTGCCACTTACCAAGTTAGATTTATGTGAAAAATGTTTAATACTTTGGGATATGCTTACGAGGACCACATAAATGTTAATTCTGCTATTGTTAAAGCTGTATATGCAGGTATAGGGTAAGGCACCCCAAAAACTTATTACCAAACTTTTTTCACAAACTTGTTACTTAATACTGTTTGTTTCTGTAGCACATTAGAACTTATTTTTAACAGTGAATCATTTTTTTATTTGATGGGATAGTCTGAAGTGGATCATGTGACTGATCAAAGTGATTTTTCTTATTTTGATTTAGGTTACAGATTATGCTATTGCCAGGCGTATAGTGGACTTGCATTCAAGAATTGAAGACTTCATTGATCGAGTCTATTCCCTAGATGACATCAGGAGGTATCTTCTCTTTGCAAGACAATTTAAACCCAAGGTAATGCGCTTCTGTACAGGGGTAGAGGATAGTGGGTGTATTGAAGTGGTATTTAAACAAATAGCTCATATGGCAATGTATCTGTATTTTCAATTTAAGTTTTAGACCTTTTTTTATTTTTCTTTGAAAAAGCAGCAGTTTGTTTCATCAAAGTGATTCCATATATTTTATTTATGAGGCACCAGTTTCTTATGGAGGGAAAAGTATGGGATTATTGCATAAGAAGACATCCTTTTATTGCAGTCATTACTAGACTATTTGATGAGTGTTCTTGAATAAGTTAAAACATTGGATCCTTATGACTCATTATGATGAATATGAATTACTAGTTGAATAGTTGATATAGTTCCTTGAACTCTATCTTATCTGTGCAGAACCCAGGATACTGATGTGATCTGGTTTTTGTTTACTTTTGCTTGAAAGAGTTATGAGGGAAAGGAGAGACACAGTGAGAGATCTTCTACCCTCTGTTTCACTCTCCAAATGGTCCCTGCAGCTGGAGCTGGACCAATCCAAAGCTGGAAGCCCCATAGGATTTATTTTCTTTTTAAAAAGCCTAGAGTAGGGGGAGAGAGGAAAGAAAGAGGTCTTCCATCCACTAATTTACTCCCCAAATGACAGTAATGACCAGAGCTGGGCCAGACCAAAACCAGGAGACAGGAGCTTCCTCACAGTCTCCCATGTGGATGCAGCGACCCAAGGACCTGGTCTAGGTGCCACTGCTTTCCCAAGTGCATTTGCGGGGAGCTGATTTGGAAGTGGAGTGTGTGAAACACCAACCAGTGCCCATCTGGGGTGTTGATATTGCGGGCAGTAGCTTTATCCACTTTGTCTCAGAAGCAGCTCCCTACCATTAATAGGGGTCAGTGTTATGGTATATGAAATAAAGGTACGGTGATGCCAAAAAATCTGCATGGATGCCAGTTGTCCCAAATGCTATACTTTCAGTCTCCCTCCCTGCTAATTGAAAAGTAACAGAATATGGCCTGAATGTTTAGACCCCTGCCTGTCCACATGAGACACCTAGAAGAAGCTCCTGACTCCAGGATTCTGCCTAGCTCAGCCATAACCAGAGGCCTTCTAAGGAGTGTAACAGCAGATTGAAGATCTTGGTAGTATCTCTGTATCTTTATAACCCTTTCAAAATAAGTAAATAAATCTTTTTAAAAAGCATATCAATGATGAGGCCCGTTGCAGTTGACTAGTGGCTGAAGTCCTCAACTTATATTTGCCAGGATCCCATATGGGTGCCAGTTCTAATCTTGGCGGCCCTGCTTCCCATCCAGCTGCCTGCTTGTGGACTGGGAGGGCAGTTGAGGACAGCCCAAAGCCTTGGGACTCTGCACCCATGTGGGAGACCCAGAATAAGCTCCTGGCTCTGAGCTTTGGATCAGCTCTGCTACAACTGTTGCAGCCACTTGGGAAGTAAACCATTGAATGGAAGATCTTCTCTGTCTCTCCTCTCTGTATCTGCCTCTGTATCTGCCTTTCAATAAAAATAAAAATAAAGTGATGCATATCTGTTGATAAATAGCATAGGAAAAAAATAAATTGGATCTGACTCAGTGGCTAAATACTTGCCTTGCACACGTTGGGATTCCATGTGGGTGCCAGTTCATGTGCTGAGTGCTCCACTTGCCATCCAACCTCCTGCTTGTGCTCTAAGAAGGCAGTCAAGGATGGCCCAAAGCCTTGGGACCCTGCACCCACGTGGGAGACCCAAAGGAGTTCCTTGCTTCTGGTTTCAAATTGGCTCAGCTCTGACCATTAGCAGCCACTTGGGGAGTGAATCAGTGGACAAAAGATCTTTTCTCTGTGTAAATCTGCTTTTCCAATAAAAATGAGTAAGTCTTTAAAAAAAATTGTGTGGCTTGACTTTTGGGAGTTACCCTTAGCTATAAAGCATTACCTTCACGTGACTGTATGATTCTCACAGAAGAAATTTAATTGGAGAGTTGGGGTCATTTGAAGGAAAGAGTGCCCATTCTCTAAGACTGTATACTTGTTTCTTAATGTGCTAAGCTCCTCACTTTGAAAAATTGGGGGTCTTTTGGCTATAATGTTTACTGAAACGGTTGGTAAATATGTATGTGTTGACCTCTTTTTTTCACCATACACTGTGTGTTAATTGAGCTTCTAATATAGCCTAACCGTTAATTTAACAAATTTGACTTCTGAGGTGTAAAAGGCAATTGCATCCTATTTCCTTGTTTCAGCTTATTTAAGCATCTTTCAGCAACAGTCATTTGCTTAAATATTAAGTCTGTGGTCATCATGGTCATAAATTTAGTGCATGAAATTCACAGCTTTCTTAGTATTAGTTCCTTTCAAGACTCTTTAACAGTAATTCACTGTCACTGACATAAAGATGTCAATTAGCTCAGTTCCAAAAACATTGCCACATGAAGGACCTATAAATCTTATCAAAGTAAATATTGTCAAATAAAAGCCTTTTAACTTCACTCATGTTATGAAACAGATTTCCAAAGAATCAGAGGATTTCATTGTGGAACAGTATAAACGGCTCCGCCAGAGGGATGGGTCTGGAGTAACCAAGTCTTCATGGAGGATCACAGTGCGGCAGCTTGAGAGTATGATCCGTCTGTCTGAAGCCATGGCCCGGATGCACTGTTGTGATGAGGTATGAGTCACCTGGGGATGTGGCAGCAAAGAGAAATTGATTTGTTGCCTTTTAGACATTTTTTATCTTCGATGTGGAATGTGCCAGAATTTACTGCAGATTTATTACTGTTGAGTACTTACAGGACAGATGACCCTGCAACTTTATTTATCAAGATTGTTTTCAAGTGTTAGTTCAATTAATAGTAATGGAGCTCTTCTCCTAGGTTGTATAAAGTACAGTTTTTAAACTGATTCTTGAGACCTTGATGCTACAGGTATTGGAGAGATCCATGCCAGAGTATCGAAGGGCATTTAAGCCCTGTAACTGTAGTTAGCCAAAGCTTCCCCCTCCCCCCACTTTTTTTTAAAGTTTATTTAAAATGATGAGATCACAGATACACATGGGGCATGTTCTGAGACTGGGGTGGGCCAAACAGCAGAGAACAAAATGTTTCTGCCTTCCATTCTATGTTAGCAGGAAGAGAGTCCTCCTCTGCATTGACAATCTTCATATGATCTCTTTTTATTTAAAGACTTATTTTTATTGGAAAGTCAGATATACAGAGAAGAGAAGAGACAGAGAGGAAGATCTTCTGTTCGATGATTTACTCCCCAAGTGTCTGCAACGGCTGGTGTTGAGCTGATCCGAAGCCAGGGGCTCTTCCAGGTCTCCCACGTAGGTGCAGGATCCAAAGGCTTTGAGCCATTCTTGATTGCTTTCCCAGGCACAAGCAGGGAGCTGGATGGGAAGCGGGGCTGCTGGGATTAGATTTGGCGCCCATATGAGAACCCCGTGCGTTGAAGGCCAGGACTGTAGCTGTTAGGCCACTGTGCCGGCCTGGTCTTCATATGATCTTGGGAAGGGAATTGGTGTCATGATAACCACCCAAATCCCTAGTGAGGGGAGATATATCCTGGAAGAAAGGTTATTTGATTGATAGATAGGTGAGTGAACTTACAAAGAACAGTGGGAGTGTGGCTTCCAGCTCATAACCCTAAGCTGGCTCAGAGACTTCTGACCCTTAATCTAAGGGTTGCTGAAGGGAACAGTCATCACATCTCCTGTACCTACTTCCTGCTTAGGGGCATAGAGCCTGCTTATTCTGGGTTTGTTTCTATCTCATCTCACAAGCTGGAGAACTTCCTGTTTAATGCTAGTGACTGTATTTCCAACATCAGTTGTTAAATAATCTTTTTCATTCTAGTGTGGTACTTCTTTACAGTGCATTGTTACAGTGTAACCATACAGTGTATTGTTAAAGATCTCATTTTGGAAATGATACTATTGACATTTTATTGGCCAGGGAAGTGCCTTCTTGCCAGGTTCCCAGAATGAGAATAGGTGTGACTACTGAAAATACTGTTATCTTTGCATTTGAATCTTTTAATTTGATTCAGTAACATTTTAAATTTCTTTTCTATAGTTTGTGCATGTTTCTTGATGATCTCATTACTGGACATTTTGTTGTTTCTCTTGGCAAGAATCTTGCATTTCATTTTGTTTTTATTCCTCTGTAATACTCAATAATTCTCATGATTTATTCACCACCACTTCTGTAAATGGACATTTAGATAATTCGCAGTTTAAGTTCTTAGGAGACTTACATGTCTTGATCCAAATATTGCACGTGTGTTTCCAGCTCTGTGATTACATGCTCAAGAGGTGAAATTATCAGGTAATGTGTCACACATGTGTTAAGTTAAAAATACCAGGTAATTTTGACAGTTGATATTCTTGCTGGTAGTGAATCAGAGTTGTACATTCTTGTCAGCTCTTCTGAACGTCCACCATTTCAGCCATTCTAATGAATTCGTTGTGGTGTCTCTCGTGTGTGTGTGTGTGTGTGTGTGTGTGTGTGTGTGTGTGTGTGTGTGTGTGTGTGTGTGTAAAAGAGGATCATCTTAGGATGATCTGAGAATACTGAGTTAACTGAATTACCTCATTTTCATTGGATTAGGTCCAGCCAAAACACGTGAAGGAAGCTTTCCGATTATTGAATAAGTCAATCATCCGTGTGGAAACCCCTGATGTCAATCTAGATCAAGAAGAAGAAGAGACCCAGATGGAGGTAGATGAGGGTCCTGGTGCCATAAATGGTGAGATGTTTGTTCATATAACTATTTTGGAATTAGGAACAAAAGCATTCTCTGAGCTGACATCTGGTAAAGAGTACAGGTGTTAGTGGTTACAGAATCTGTGGCAGAAGGGGAGAAAATAAATTTGAATTGAATTCGTTGTTTATAAATTAAAGTACAATTAAATCATTGATATGAAATGTATGTGCCTGAAAAATGAAAGAAAATGTATCATTGTTGATAGTTGGCTTCAAATTGCCTGGTATAGATTTTAATTTAGTATTTTGGGTTTTGAATTAGAAATGTTTTTAAGCGAAGCGGACAGAATAATTTTTATTTTGTACATAATTGAGCTTAAAAAAATTGTTTATTTGAAAGGAAGAGTTACAAAGAGAAAAGGAGAGTCAGATCCTCCTACCAGTTATTGATCTTCAACAGCAAAGACTGGTCATTATTGAGCCTTCCACAGGGTTAAGCACCTGGGGCCATCTTCCATTGCTTCCTCTTGTTCATTAGTAGGGAGCTAGATCAGAAGTGAAGCAGCTGGGACACCAGTGCCCATAGATGTCAGCTGAACCATATCACCAAATGTAATGAACTTTTAAATCATGAGATCATTACATTTCCCACTGCTCGGGTTCAAGCTCAATTAAGTTTTGTCTTCACTAGTACAGCTGATAAATTTGCTTCTGATTTTTTGTGAAATTGTGTGATATACATAATTGTATATGCTTGTTTTGAAATTAATACTAAATAAATAGAATATGAGTCAATAGAAACACTTGATACAGAATGCTACTGACACTGTTACAACATTCAGGAAGTTAAATTTTCGCTTAGGTCATGTTGATAGCCCCGCTCCTGTGAACGGAATCAATGGCTACAGCGAAGCTGTCAATCAAGATGCTGTTCAGAAACCTTGCTTAAGATTGGGCTTCTCCGAGTACTGTCGGATCTCGAACCTTATTGTGCTTCACCTCAGGAAGATGGAAGAAGGTGAGTCTATTCATAGCACTACATACATACTCAGTCTTTTATATGAACTTTTTGGTTGCTATACACTTGTATCTCAGAAAAGATAATAAATTGTTAGGCTCATATTAGCAAGATAAACTAATAGAATCAGTATGTCTGCTGTTCTGAATAGATCCATACAAGCTGATTGTCAAAGATTTAAGTGTATTCTGGACTTAACTTTACTAGCTTTAAAGCAGTTTAAGACCTAATAACATTAAGAAACACATGCAGTTTTGTTTTGTTTTTAAAGATTTGTTTTTATTATTTTTTCATTGGAAAGGCGGATATACAGAGAGGAGAGACAGAGAGGAAGATCTTCCATCCGATGATTCACTCCCCAAGTGAGCGCAACGGGCCGATACTATGCCGATCCGAAGCCAGGAGCCTCTTCCAGGTCTCCCACGCAGGGGCAGGTTCCCAAAGCTTTGGGCCGTCCTGGACTGCTTTCCCAGGCCACAGGCAGGGAGCTGGAAGGGAAGCGGGGCTGCCGGGATTAGAACCGGCGCCCATATGGGATCCCGGGTGTGCAAGGCGAGGACCTTTAACCACTTGCGCCACCGCGCCGAGCCCAGTTTTGTTTTGTTTTTACCTACAATGGCTTTGTTTAAAACAAACAGACTCCCAGAGTATTAGAACTTCATATACTATTTAAATTGAACCCAGAAAAATCTAAACTACTTAAAGGCAATATTGTGTATCCCTCTTTGCAATATGTGGGTATTCTACACTTCTGCCTTAACTGCTTTATCATACTATTCAACGTGTTATCACCCAACAGATGGAGAAACAATGTAATGGAGTTTATTTAAAGTTTTCATTTGGTAGTTAGGGTTAGGCATCAGGTGATTTTTTTTTTCAGTTTATTTTTAAATTTTAAAATGTTTATTTTACTTGAAAAAGTTAAAGAGAAGGAGAGACAGATGTTTCATCTGCTAGCTTACTCTGTAAATGGCTGCAATGGCCAGAATTGGGCCAGTCCAAAGTTGGTTGCCAGGAGCTTCTGGATCTTCCACGTGAGCGCAGGGCCCAAAGCCTTGAGCTGTCTTCTGCTGCTTTTCCAGACTGTTAGTAAGGAGTTGGATCAGAAATGCAGTAGTACCCAGACACTGCAGGCAGAGGATTAGCGCACTATATCAGAGTGCTGGCCCCAGCAGCAAGTGATTCTTATTTAAAACCTTGAGTGATAACTGAGCTGCTGTCTGGACTTGTTTTGTCATCACAGTGTCCAATCTGTTACAGAGAGAGAGAAAACACTAGAGATTGTTTTAGCTTACTGAAGATACGGAGTTGATTAATGTTTCTTGGCTTGTTGCCTAGGAACAGTGGACCAGCAGGAAAGAGAAGGGTTTCGCATCAGGGTTTATCTCCACTCCTCTTAAAAGAGATTTAGTAACTCCTATGTTCTTGTATTCGGTAGTACCTCATTATTCTCTTTCTCCTTGATGATAGGGACAAAATTTTAGACTTACAAAACCACTGATGGTGGGACCGGTGTGATGGCTCAGTTGGCTAATCTTCCCCTGCAAGCAGTCACATCCATATGGGCTCTGGTTCGTGCTCCCTGCTCTGCTTCCAATCTGCTCCCTGCTTGTGGCCTGGGAAAGCAGAAGATGGCCCAAAGCCTTGGGACCTTACCCCTATGTGGAAGACCTGGAGGAGGCTCGTGGCTTCTGGCTTTGTATTGCTCAGCTCCAGCTATTGCAGTCATTTGGGAGTGAACCACTGGAATAAGGATCTTGCTGTCTCTCTCTGTAAATCTGCCTTTCCAATAAAAGATAAGCAGGTCTTTTTTTTTTTTTTTTTAAAGAAAACTAATAGAGCAAAGATACCGTTGACATCCACCTATTTTTTCAAAGCCATTATTACTAAGGCTGAAATTTCCTCATTGTGTTTGCAATGACTAGAATTGAACCTAAGTAGAATTTTTTCTATTGCACTTCATTTCTGGGATAGTTATGATGTTACTCGACCCACCTTTCTCTTGAGTTTAGTTGTTACTTTCACATTTTAAAAAATTTATTTATTTATTTAATCCCCTCCCTCCACCCTGCCCTGGGAACCACCTCAGGAGACGGGGTGTTTATAATAGGCTGCTCCTGAATGGCCAGTGGCCTCAGTTATGTGCAGGTTTGTGCTGTGGTGTTGCAGCCTGCTCCCCACCCCTCCCCTCCAGCGTCAACATGCAGATGCAGCAGGGGCTCAAAGACAGCATGTTGCTTTCACATGAGAGTTCAGTTTTTATGTCTAGGTTTTGCTGAGTTTTCTCATTTTAGGTGAAAGCCTATGGATTTGACTTCTTAGTTGACTTTTTTCCTTCCCAAAAAAGGAAAAGTTACATTCAAGAACATTTTTCTTTTAGATTTATTTTATTTAGTTGAAAGGCAGAGTTAGAGATCATTCATCTGTTGGTTCACTCCCCAGACGACTACAACAGCTGGTGCTGAGCCAGGCCAAGGCCAAGCGCTTTATGTGGGTGTCCCACAGGGACACAGGGTCACAACGACCTCGGCTGTCTTCCAGTGCTTTCCCTCACACATTAGCTGGGAGCTGAATTGGAAGTGGTTCAGCTGAGACTTGAACTGGCACTCTTATGAAATGTCCATTATAGGTGATGGTTTAACCCATTACACCTTTCTCTTACCGTTGGCAAGCATCTTCGTAATTGAAACATACAAAGGAAGGAAAACTTCATACTTTGAAATATTAATACATTTAAGAAACATTTGTTCGAATCTATTTAGAGTCTCCATTTCTGGATATAGTAATATGACAGGATATTTTAGGCTTATTATGACATTGTGGAACCTTATATTTCATCACATATACTTTCTGACGTAGTGAGTTATCTGTATAAGATCTTACTGTGGGGCCCGGCAGCATGGCCTAGCGGCTAAAAGTCCTCGCCTTGAACGCGCCAGGAATCCCATATGAGCACCGGTTCTAATCCTGGCAGCTCCACTTCCCATCCAGCTCCCTGCTTGTGCCCTGGGAAAGCAGTCGAGGACAGCCCAAAGCCTTGGGACCCTGCACCTGTGTGGGAGACCTGGAAGAAGTTCCTGAATCCTGGCTTCAGATCAGCATAGCACTGGCCCATGCACTCAATTGGGGAGTGAATCGTCGGACAGAAGATCTTCCTCTGTCTCTTCCTCTCTCTCTCTAGATCTGACTTTCCAATAAATAAATAAATCTTAAAAAAAAAAAAAAAGAGATCTTACTGTGTACATAAACCCTGGGGATTGGCAATTCAATTTGGCTTGACAGTACCGTTTGCCAGAAAATGAGTCTTTTAAAATGTACTTTTTGTTGCAGAAGAGGATGAGTCGGCACTTAAGAGGAGTGAGCTTGTTAACTGGTACTTGAAGGAAATTGAATCAGAAATAGATTCTGAAGAGGAACTTATAAATAAAAAGAGAATCATCGAGAAAGTTATTCATCGACTCACACACTATGTATGTATACATCTGCATTACCATAGTATGTCATGGGGGAAGGGGGTTCACCTATTCTCGGTGAAGATTTGTTTGATGTTTATTTATTTAGTATTATTTGAACGTGGTTGGAGTTACTCATTATGAAACAAGGGAGACAGCGTCAGTGACATACTCTGCTACTACAATGAAAACTTGAGCAGGTTAAATCTGGGAAGATGGCTTTGGATTCTTGCTGTTTTGAGTATTGTTGTTCTTTATGTCCTGTAGCCCTTTGCACCTTTGGTCATGCAGTAAATGTTTAAGTATCTTTACCACTTATTTCCCTATGTTTTATCTTCCTTATATCTTGGTTTCCGCCTTACACAGCCCAATAATCATTCTCATTTTATACTTTCAACTTTTTCCTTTATCTCCTTTAACCCCAGCCTTGATTAATTTTCAATTTCTTTGTGCACCTTCCTATCTCTAAGCAACTAAAAGTGTTTGGAGAAAGGCATACAGTCCACATGCCCTGTGTTACTTAGATTCATGACCATATGTCTGAAGCAGACATGTTCTAACTTCTGTCTTGGTCAGCCTCATAATAGCATGGTAGAATTCTCAGTCCATCTCTCTCTTAAAGCCCTTAGTATGTTTTCTGTACTTGCCACTGGTCATCCTAGATATTCAGCTTGTCAGAAGTATTTGTCACAAGGTATTCCTTCTGGCAATATTTTGTTCACTGGATTTCTAAGTGATCTCATTTTCCTGGATCTTCTCATACTGGACGTACCTTTAATCCCTTTTCCTGGAACTTTATCTTTGTGTACTTTCGACCAGTTGCATTCACTGCCCAATTTATCTTCCTTGGCTTAGGGATTTTCCACCTGCTGTTGTTTCCTAGATTTCTATCTTTATCTCTTACCTTTTCACTGAGCTTGAGATGTACGTACACAGTTGCCTACCAGTGTCACTGGGTGAAAGGGCAAGGGGAAGAGTGCTGTGCTATGAGGTGCATGAGGGAGACAGAGCTAGACTGCAGTGTACTGCAGCCCATGGTAAGAGTACATTTTATTATAAGTCTAACTGGCAAACAGGGCAGTAAAACAATTTATCTTTAAGAAGACAACTGCTGTTGACAGAGAAGAGGTGCTAAAGGAAGCCCAGGCATGGTACACTGTGCAGGCTGCTGAGGCAGTGAACAGGAAATATAGACACACAGGGAGACTCACAGGTTTTGATAAAGAGGAATTATGAAGACATCAAGGAGGATTCCTGCGTGTTTGACCAATGGTTATTGGGTAAATGACACTGACTGAGGAGGGAAAAACTGTTTTTGAAAACATTTAACATGAAATGCCTGTTAGTTCATTGGTAACCAGCATCCCTAAAGCCAAGGAAGGTAAGTTGGGCAGTGAGTGCAAGTGGTCTAAAGTATACCAAGATAAAGTTTCAGGACGAGGGATTCAGGTTATTTTAATAGGTCTGTGGAGGAACAAATTAAAGGATAAATATTTTTAGGTGCACAAATTTTTTGGAACCCATACTTTTTTTTATGATGGCATTTTCCACAAAGTTTGAACATCTTCGTTTGCATAAGTTCTGTGTACCAAAGTAAAGTAATATTTTAACTCTATTTTCCATTAAATTTTAGAAGCATTCTTTTTAATCTTAAAAGTGTGTTATATATGAGGAAAAACTGCTTTCCTGAGGAGTCAGATCAGTATTTGATTACAGGGTGTGTTTATATATGTGTGTGTGTGTGTTGTGTGTATGTAGGAAATTGAGAACACTTAGATTAGAATTAATACATGAAATGCATGAAAGGTCAAGCTAAACTGAAGTGAAACATGCTCAGAATTACGTTTGTACTGGTGGGAAATGTCTTAGCACTGGTCAACTTGTCCCTCCTTGCCCCTTGAGAAAATGACCCAGTAAGAAACCCAGATCAGGACTGTGGAACAAAAGGTGAAACTCACTGATCTAAAGCAGGGTTGCCTTGCTCCAGCAGACTATAAGAACTTACATTGTGCTGATCAGATGTGCTTCCTGAGAAGCTGTGGAAGGGCACACAGTGAGGGCTTCAGAATATTTAATCCCCCTTGTTGACATCAGGGTATTTACTGTAAGGCTTTACTTATATTCTTAGGATTAAATAATTCTTTTTTGAATTTCTTCTTGGGCATATGGTTCTCATAGTAAACATTTTCAGATGACAGTTATACCTGGGCTTGAAATCTCTAATCAAGATTTGAAGCTAAATGACAGTGTACTTTTGCTTTTATTCTCTCTTGATTCTACTTCTGAATTATGCATGAGGGGTATATGATTATGTTCAGTGGGCAGTAAATATGAAATGACTAGCATTAAACTGAATTTTGCACAATTGTATAGTCCTAATTATACAACATTGGTTTCTGTTTGTCTTGTTAAAATTACATTTATAACATTTGATTTAATGATCTGGAAAATACTAAAATCACAATATCCATTGAACTTAATTTTTTAAGAAGGAAATAAATGAAAAGATCCCCATCCTTTTGGGAAAGGCATTTAGGAGAGTGTTAATAATGATTTTAAGATTTAGTCCTGAGACTTTTATTGTGGCTACTGGGTGAAGCTATTGCCTATGATGCTGATGACCCACTTAAGTACAGGTTTGTATCCTGACTGCTCCACTTCCATTCTTACTTTCTGTTAATGTATCTGGGAAAAGAGTGAAAGATGGTTCTAATACTTGGACCCCAGATAGCCATTTTGGAGACCTGAATTAAGCTCTTGGTCTTGGCCTCATTCAGTCTTGACCATTGTGGCCATTTGAGGGGTAAACTGGCAGATAAAAGATTTGTCTCTGTCCCTGTCTCTCTATCTCTGTAAATCTGCCTTCCAAATAAGTCATGTTTAAAAAGGAAGAAAGAAAAGCAAATGGATTCCAAGTATCCCAACAGCAACCAAAAAGATAGTCTGAGTTTTTGCTGAGAATAGGAAAGAAAAATGTCAGTATTAAAGCATTCAAAAGGATTGGTGTGTGGACATTTTTTCATAAAACTACTGGAGATCTGAGGACAAATGTTCATGTTTGACAGGATCACGTTCTAATTGAGCTCACCCAAGCTGGATTGAAAGGCTCCACAGAGGGAAGTGAAAGCTATGAAGAAGATCCGTACTTGGTAGTCAACCCCAACTACTTGCTTCAAGACTGAAATACAATTACTGACCAGTGATGGGAAACCACCATGGCTCAAGCCTGGATATGCCTGCTAGGGAGAGATGTGTCTTTGCAAGTGATGCTTCAGGATTTGCTTTGAGAAACAAGAACTGATGGCCCTGTGTGTGTCACAATTCTGTCCTATGCTTTGAACCAACGATAGGCTCTAGCACGTCCTTTAGTGTGCTGCTTGTCCTAATAGAATTGGAACCCAATAATGTATGATTTCTATAGGACTTGTTTTCAAGTAGAAGAAGAGGCCCATGTTATATATACTATCTTACTGAAGAAGTAACTTTTTCAATTGCCAACTACTGCTTTTATTCATCAAAATAAAATAACTTGCTTGAGTTGTCCATTGATTTATTTCTCTAGTCTGTTGCTGCTTCTCGTGCTCCTTTTTTGTTTTGTTTGTTTGTTTGTTTGTTTTGATCCAGGGTGAAGGGAGGAAAGTATGTCATTATGTATATGTATTTAGTATATGTTTCCTGTAAGGAAGGGATAAGGAACCTTTTTTCTTCCCTAAACACTGTGTAGGTATACACAAGCTATACAAAATTATGAAGTTACCCAGCATCCGTGTGGGAGACCCAGAAGAGCTCCTAGCTCCTGGCTTTGGATTGGCTCAGCTCCAACTGTTGTGGCTGCTTGGGGAGAGAATCATCAGACGGAAGTTCTTCCTCTGTCTCCTTCGTCTGTATATCCACCTTTCCAATAAAAACAAATAAATCTTTTAAAAAATAAGCTTTTTAGGGCCCGGTGTGGTGGTGCAGTGGTTAAGGTCCTCGCCTTGCACGCCCGGGATCCCATATGGGCGCCAGTTCTATCCCGGCAGCCCCGCTTCCCTTTCAGCTCCCTGCCTGTGGCCCAGGAAAGCAGCCGAGGACGGCCCAAAGCCTTGGGAGCCTGAACCCATGTGGGAGACCCGGAAGAGGCTCCTGGCTTCAGATTAGCACAGTCTGGCCGTTGCGCTCACTTGGGGAGTGAATCATCGGACGGAAGATCTTCCTCTCTGTCTCTGCTCTCTGTATATCCGCCTTTCCAATAAAAAAAGATAAAAATAAATCTTAAAAAAAAAATAAGCTTTTTATAAAAATGAGCCACGATAGCTTTATTAAATATCAAGTGCCACCTATAATTGCCTTGGCAGAGCCAAACCAAATGATTTTGGGGACTTATATAGCCCAAAGGCTAGATGTTGTCTGCCCCTGCTAAGGAGTCATTATACAATGAATATGAAAATTAAAGGTCTTGTAGGTAACTTTGTAAAGTTGATTCCAGGATTCTTCCCCCCTCCCCTTAAATAGTGAATGATTTGTTTTTAAATAACATGCTGGCAGTTGTAATGTAGTCCTAAATTAAGCAGTATTGTTTCATATGTTTTGGAAAAGTAGTTGGTCCATGAGGTAGAATGGAGCCTGTTGGGCCTGGTGCAGTGGCCTAACAGCTTAAGTCCTCACCATGAATGCTCCAGGATCCTATAGGGGTGCCACTTCTAATCCCAGCAGCCCCACTCCAGCTTCCTGCTTGTGGCCTGGGAAAGCAGTTGAGGATGACCCAAAGTCTTGGAACCCTGCACCCGCGTGGGAGACATGGAAGACGCTCCTGGCTTCGGATCAGCACAGCTTTGGCTGTTGCAGTCACTTGGGGAGTGATTCATTGGATGGAAGATCTCTCTCTTTCCTTCTCTCTCTATATCTGACTTTGCAATAAAAATAAATCTACTAAAATTGGAATAATACAGAGAAGATTAGCATGGTCTCTACGCAAGGATGACACGCAAATTTGTGCAGCATTGCATATTTTTAAGGTGTTGCATCAAAATAGACTTATCTTTGAATTCCATTCTCCAAAAAAATTAATCTTCATTAAAAAAATGGGGCCTATCTTTGTAGATGAGGTTGAACATTTACTTAACAAATAGTTAAACACATGATACTTTACAGAAAAAACAAATCAGAGCAGGTTTTGTAGCCTGGCAGAGCTGAGGGGTTTTTTAATTTGTTTTTTTTTTAAGTTATTTTATGACAGGTTGGGTTCTTGACAACCACTTAGGGCACACTGATGCAGTTCTCGACTCTACGCTTTAGCCTGACCCCAGCATGTGAGTGAAAGAATGATTCTCACTCAGAGCTTGAAAATTTGGAATACATTAAGGAATGATGGATATGACAGTTTAAAAATGCATCTTAGATATGAAATCCTTTGATTCAACTCAAAGCTGATTGTCAACCAGATATTCCACTATATCGTGACCAGCAATTTAAGTCCACTTAACATACATGTGAGTGTGTGTGATCAAGTCCTGACTGCTTTTGAATCTGCTTCCTGTTAATGTACCTGGGAGGCAGAAGGTAATGTTCAAGCATTTGAATTGTTGCCACCTACCTGAGAGACCCAGATGGGGTTCCTGACTTCTGGTTTCAGCCAGGCTATTGGGGGCAGCTAGGAAAGTGAGCCAGCCAATAGAAGACCATTGATTGCTCTACCTTTCAAATAAATTTTAAAGTACTCTGCTGAAAATGACATACAAAATTTCTGATTGAAAATCTGAAGGATATTACAACAAGTACTTTTCCTAATAGCAAAAGGGATAAACTTCAGGTGTCAAACACTGCATTTATGACTGATCCGATGCTAGCAACAATTGTCAAAATTAAAGCTACATAATATACAAATTACATTAAAGAACAAGGGGATGGAAAATTCTTAATAGGTCAGTGTTTGGGCACAATGGGTTAAGCCACCACCTGCATCTCAAGCCAGTTGGAATCTGGGCTGCTCCACTTGATCCGGCTCCCTGCAGTTATACCTTAGAAAGCAGCCGAAGGTGGCCCAAGTCCTCCATGTGAGAAATTGCCTCCTGGCATTGGCCTGGCCTGTTTGGGGAGTGAACCAGCAAATGAAAAATTCCTCTCTGTATCATTCTGCCTTTGAAATAAATATTTTTTAAAATTTAAGCTTAGTTTAAGATGTTACATAGATGAGGGGATTGCAGACCCATGAAGGTCTCTAGGTGGGATGAAGCAGAGGGGAGATAGGCAATGGAAAAGACCCCATCTCCCCCCTGTGACCACGCATGAGAGGGAGATGTTGCACCACTCCTTGTTGCAGATCGCTTCAGCACCAGGGGACAGAGATAGTCCCCTGATTTGGGGAAACCAGGTACCCTGATATGGAAAAAATGTCCTAAGGGTGTTCCTTGAGTACTCTCAATTGCTCTGAGATGCTGTTGGCTTCCTAGCACCAAGTATGAGACACCACTTTCCATACTTGTCGGTAGCCTGTTTCATTATGCCCATATCCTTAAATGCCTGGTAGAGATTTTGGCTTGTAACTTTCAACCCTCTCTGTGTCTTTTCATGAAGTACTCAAGATCCTCTATTGAGTCACAGAGGCCAGTTGTCCTGTCACATTCGTGTGTATCTGGTATGTCGTCTTTCCTTACATGAATCAGCAATGGAGGTGGCCCATTCCCACAACAAACCAGACCAAACTTCCATGTGGTGTTCCCTGAGTTTGGGGATCAGGTGGAGTAGACCCATTGAACTGACTCCTAAGAACCCTGGTTGCTGTGTGCACAGGCAAGTGCTGTGGCCTTGATGGAGTGACCCCTAGGAAATCCAGCCAGACCCACTCCTGAGCTTAGCCCCTGCATGTGCCAGTGGGTGCTATGGCCCACCTGGTCCCACCTGCAGACCAGACTTGTGCCAATGTGTGCTGCAGTCTAGTCAGGAGATCCTAAAGACCCCCTCCAGGCCTGCTCCCAGAGCTGGCTCTCAAATGCACCAACAAGTGCTACTGCCTAGCCCACCCCAAGCTCACTCACATGCTAGCTGGTGGTTGCTATAGCCCAGCCTGGCCCCGCCAGCCCCCAGCCCTAGTTTATGCATGAGCAAGTGGGTGCTGTGACCTGACTTGACCCCTCACTAGATCTGGCTCTTAGTGTGCACTAGCAGATTCTGCACCCTGGTCCACACCTGGCACCTGTATTTGTGGGTTCAGGTTACTAAGCAGCCTAAGGAGACTCCTTTTTTAAAACAGCCACACTGGATAGGTTGAATAGCCAATGAATTATTTGCATCAATTACTGAATGTAAGAAGACTAAGATAATACACTCATCTGAAACCTGAATCCAAGTCACATTAGTGAGTTTTGCTAAAGTACCCACTCTTGCTGGTGATAAGTAATCATTTATAAGACAGATCACATGTACATTCATTGTTGCTCTAGTTCATCATCCTCAAGTGCAAACCAAGGTATCAGTACCCAAGCTAGGGGACGCTGTATGAAGTGGAAAAGAAAAAATTATAATTGAACAACTATCTGGGTGGAATAATGGTGAGTTCAGTAGCTATTAGAGCTGGCTGAAAGACTCCCAAACTTTACCCAAGGCACCCCACATTTAGCAGGAGTTAAAGGATAAAGGACACCCACCATGATTTCACCTGGACAAACTTCTACCCCAAACATGCTAAGCACCACAGCCACAGCGTGGGGGCCATGGGGATCACTGTCCAATCCAAGATGTGCTCAGAGAGTGAGCAACCCACCCAGAGAACAACTAAATTGCTGGTCATTGCCTACAACCAGGCTGCCAGCTCACAAGATCCCATGCTTAATGTAGGAGCTTCCCAGGACCTGCATCCAATTTCTAGCCCTCCTCACAGCTAGCTACTCCTACTCAGACACAGGTCTTCCAGTTCCAGATCCTCACTGTGTTCCAGCCCCGACCCAAGAGCTCACCCATCAAAGGGATTGAAAGGCACTCTTCCTTTAGATGGTCTAAAAACAAAAGCTTATTGTGCTGTTTTATTATTCTTTAATAGTTTTTTTCTGTGCTTCAAGAGGAATTTCTGGGGTGTTTTTTTTTCAGCCTACATTTTTTAAGAGGGAAAATATGAACTTTGGATACTACAAGCTGTCCCCTACTCTTGTGGCTTTCATTCAAGAGAAACATTGTTTGTGCTCCTGAAGTTTCTGAGGCTGACATTTCCTGAAACTCAGCTACCATTTGTAGGTTGAGGATGCATCACTTCTTACTGTTGCTTCCTTTACCAGCAGAGGGCATCCTAGGTCCTGCAGGTCCAATTAGGGAATGTGTGTCTATACAGAGTGAAAGGCAGAATAACAGAGAGAGGGAGAGATAAATCTTCCATCCACTGATTCACTCTCAAAGTGGCTTAACAGCTGGGCTTGAGCTAGGAACTGGAAAGTCCGTCGGGTTCTCCCACATGGATGACAGGGGCCTAGCACATGGGCCATCTTTTGTAGCTATGTAAGGCAAATTAACTGGATAAAGTGGAGCAGCCAGAATTTAAAGGGGATGCCAGTGCAGGCCCCTTCACACATGTTTGTCAGGAAGGTGAAGTGATAAGTGGATAATGAGGTGTCCCCAGAGGCTATGTCCAGGTCCTATATAACAAGAAAGTCTAGGGCTAGACAGTTTTGAATAAAGCAGGCAAGCAGCTTATTGTAAAAGGAAGGGCTCTCTTTATAGGCTAGCTGGTAGAGCTGGAACATCTGCCAAAAGGGTGTAAGGGTTTATTATTATTGTTTCACTTTAATGGTGGGGCAAGAATATTCATGGGATAGGGAAGAGTTCTGGGAACAAATGAGGCTTTCCTAGAGTAGAAGCACTATGTATTTTCTTTCCTAGTGAGGTCCTTTCAGGACTATCATGACATTTCTGGATTCAATTGGCAGCGGAAACTACAATGCTATTAATATCATGAACCTAAAGTTAAGGTCACTATACTGCTGACAGTATGGTAATTGATAAGTCAAGTCCTGGAAAGTTCTGAGGACATCTGGGCTCCTCTCTTATCTAGCTGTCTGCTGATACTAACATATAAGATCTTTATGAAGACAGTTAGGTATTCAGATTAAGAGATAGACATAATATTACACAATGGGAAAGTTTGAATATTTGAAGATGCCAAATGGTCTGTAAAAATCATGGCTTTTAAAATCCTAACAGATACCTATCCATAGAGAGAGCATTGCATAAATTATGACATATATACTGTGGGATAGGCACTAAACTGAGGTAAAACTAGATGTTTAGAAATGGAAATATATCCAGGTCACATGGAAAAGGAAATAGACATTTAAGGGCCAGTACGATGGTTCAACTGGCTCTTCCTAGCCTCCAGGGGCTGGCATCCCTTATGGACAGTGATTCACATCCTCGCTATTCCACTTCCTATCCAGCTTCCTGCTATGGCCTGGGAAAGAAGTGGAGGCTGGTCTAAGCGTTGGGAGACCCAAAACAAGCTCTTGGCTCCTGGTTTCAACAATCTCAGCCACAGCCATTGTAGACATTTGAGGAGTGAACCAGTGGATAAAAGAGCTTTCTGTCTCTTCTCCATAAATCAGTTTTTCCAATACAAATAGTACAACTTAAACAAAAAAAGAAAATGCGTAAATATGATCAGGAAGATTTGGAGAAAAAGCAAGATAGGAGGGGTCATGTCCTATCAGAAAATCGAAAAATATTTACAACACTACAGCAGTTAGGGTTGTATTATACTGACACAGGACTATATAAATTAGTCAAAGTCCAAAAGTGTCTACATGTATTGATTTTTTTTTTTCAGTATTGGTAAGGTAGCATTTCAAATAGTAAGGGAAGACTGGGCCCAGTGGCGTGGCCTAGCGGCTAAAGTCCTCACCTTGAACACGCCAGGATCCCATATGGGTGCCGGTTCTAATCCCAGCAGCTCTGCTTCTCATCCAGCTCCCTGCTTGTGGCCTGAGAAGGCAGTTGAGAACAGCCCAAAGCTTTGGGACCCTGCACCCATGTG